GAATGCACCAAGTTAAAATTAAAATGACAGCAATGCAAACAATAAACGTTCAGAGGAGTGGGTAGAAGTGTAAACTCATTCAAACTCACCCTGTGAACTGTCAATGAATTTCATAAATCTGGCTCTCGATGAAGGTTGTCAAAAAGAAACAAATCGTTGAAAGCAAAATGGAGATGTGAAACTGACTCTCCATAACACTCTCAACACACAAGCCACTTTTTTGATCTACATAATTTCTTCACTGCTCCTGATCAACAATTTCCAACATAGAGTGGAGGCTGAAGTCACTCTCGAGATTCATGTTGGTAGTCTACACCATGTGTCTACTCTGAACTGTAAAACCTACCTAATATAGGATTAAGGAATAAATGTGAAAACCCTGCATTAGAATCACAACAAACTCTGCTCCCCTCAGGAAATCCTCTACACATATTTTGTATTTGTATGTTTTAGATGAGTTTTACTTTACTTCCACTTCACATCTATGCATTACTCTGAGTTGGTGTGTCACATAAAACCCCAATACCATACACAAATGTCTGGGATTGTAGTAAGACAATATTTTACAAAGTTAAAGGGGCATGAATACTTCATAAATATGCTCACTCACATACTCACGTAGCTAATGGGGCCTTCATGTCCTTACTTTCACTGGCATACGTGAGCGCCGAGAGGCCTTGATCGCGGTCTCCAGGGAAGCCCAGCAGGTTGACGATCTTCAAAAGATGGGGCGGCACCATGGAGATGCACAGGTGGAAAAGGCCATAGCCAAAGCTGACAGATCCTTTCAGTCGGTCCAGAACCTCTGAGCTGACGCCGTTCAGTCTCTGAGACTGGCTCATTCCAGGTGAGGAGGATCGGCTGCTGCTGGAGGAGGCCGAGGTGGATGACAGAGAGGACGACGCTTGCTGTTCAGAGATCCTTCTGTTGCCTTCTTGTAGGTGTGTGATGTCATTGTAGCATTTGTTATACATCTTCCATGCTTTGCGGAGGATCCAGCCTCCTTTGATGTATGCTGGAAGGGAGTGGAGCTGAGCTGAGTGAAACTTACTTTGGTATTTTCTATACAACCCAAACTTTTGAATTTTTTTTTTCTGCTTGTTACCTGACAGCTCTTGCTTTATGAAAGACAGAACTGCGAGGTAGACCTGGCAGTCTGCAATGATGATCTGCCGCTGCAGTCGGTCCACAGCAGCCATTCCCGACCTCTGGGAATCCACCTGCTAAACCACATCTCACTTATCCACACTTATTAGCGCAAACGGCAATAATAATTCGTCATACATTTATCTATAACAATTAAACGCATAGATTCAGGTGGTTACTCACGCTCCGCTTTATCTTGTTTTTAATGGTTTCAATAACGCTGCCGTTTTCACTCTCACACAGTCGCTCCGTAGATTTGAGGTCCTCAAAGGCCGTCTGCATTTTCTCCTCTTCAAATGTCATAACAGCATTCTGCACACAAAACACACCCAGATTAATGCAGAAAATGTATGAAAAAAGACAGCGACCCATGGCTTTGTAAAAGTGAAGCAAACAAATACATTCAACAGTTTCACTTTCTTTGTGTCATATTAATTTCACCTCTTCCAGTACACATGAAGGCAACACAGACAAAGAGACTTTAAAAACTGTACTCTTTTTTTTAATCAAATATAAAAAGGCTAAGAAGTCTTTAGTTACCTGGAATGTATTCAAAGAGGCACTACATATACATATATATATATATATATATATATATATATATATATATATATATATAATATATATATATACATATATATATATATATATGTGTGTGTGTGTGTGTGTATATATTATTGTTCCATTACTTAAAAGCTCTTTTACTGCTTTTTCAAATTAAACTGATTTAAAGTTAAAATGAAAATGAAATAAAAACAGGGATCTGAAACTAAACGACGCCATGCTGACAGGACAATTCTGTACTTACCAGAAAACTCACAAAACTTGCACCGAAACTCATCAAAGGACTGTCGTTCCTTAGAAAGAGGAAACAGAACATGAGTAGGGGGCTTTGCAATTATTATTACAGCAACAAAGTTTGAGCCAAGTCTGTTTCAAAGCCCAACAAAATACTAGTGTGCTTCAGAAGACAGGTATTAACAAGTGAAGACATATTAGAAGCAAATACCAAATGCGTCATAAAGCATGGCAGTGTATGGCTTATTCTGCCTTGGAGTCTGTCACTTCCCTCCATGTTTTCTTACTTATCCTGTCAAAGCAGGATGGCACTCAGTGCTTAGAGCAATTAGTGGGAGTACTGACATTTCACTTTTCACCAGGGGTCAGGACACATAGGGGCAGCCTTCTGTGACATCAACATGTAGCCTTAAAGGATACTCTTTGCTTTAGATAATAAGCTCTTATCATGACAACACAGCATGACAGGAGAATGAATACAGTCTAAAACCAATAAGTGGATTGTACTAAAAGTGAATGAATAGATTCGTTTTTTGTTGTTTACTTTTAGCTTTTCAACTCTTATGGGCTAATTTTTGGATGACCCCAACAAAGTGTTTTGGATCTTTCCAAAACAAGTGAAAAGAAAGTTAATTCACGGAAATGTTGCAGTTGGGACAGGCATTTCAGGAATGACAACTTGCTAAACAAGCAAACCTCTTTAAAAACATGTATAGATTGCTAAAATAACTACAACGCCCCATCACCAAACATAACTCAGCTATTTAATTAATCCATTACTATTTTTTCATAAACAAGTTGGTCTGCCTGAGTATTACCATGGAGCATTAATCTAATCCAGCTTGTGACCAAATCATAAAGTGAAACCTACCAGACAAGTAGGACAATGACACTGGTGCTCACAAAAAGAAAAAGACTAAGACAAACAATGCTACTTATGCTGATGCTACTTCATTTTATGAAGAATAACTAAAAAGATATGCAGTTGGTGGTTTAACCTGAAAGCTGCCTGGAGACCCACACAGACCTGTATGTCTTGAAGAGCTCATCACTTTCCTTGAATCCGTTGTTGAGCAGCATATTGATTCCTTTCAGAGCCAGCTCTGCGTCGCTTACACGCTCCGTCTTCTCCTCCCCGGAGCTCCCGGGAGCTGCTGCTGTTGGGTCCGCCATTAGGACACCCGATACCGCCGCCGCAGCTGGAGGTAAGTAAGTATCCGAGAGATTCCGTGTGGGGGGTGCGGCGGCTCTGGATAGTTTACTCACAGTCAAAACAGTCTCAACCCGTTGCGCAGCTCTGAATAGTCGCTGTCATGTCTGTGTTGTTTACAGACTAATAACCTACATAGACGACATAAACGCTACAAACAGCTGAGAGAGTGAGCTGACCGTTGTTTAGTCTGGCGGGTTCCGTCGCTGTGTTCCGTATTCTGCCGCCTGTCTGACCGCCGGTTTGTGTTCCTGTGGAGACAGGAAATGTGCTACCTTCAAGTGCATCCGGAAATATCATATTCTTAGACCGTAGAAAACCGCCAAACCTCTGTCCCGTAAAATTTAACGATATTATTATTAATAATAATAAAACTACAAACATTTGTAGTTAAAACAATGTTATAATATTCATGTTCAATATACTGTGTTAAAGAGCCAACTAACAAACTATAGCCTATTACATAAATCGATCTATTGCTAGCTCCAGATGCCCTTATATCTCCTCAGATGTTTCAGGGACGCTAGCAAGCTTTGGGATTAATAAAGTGGTTTTGAATTCGAATTTGAAAATGACTCTATGGAACAAATGTGAATAGTAATCTGAACTTTAGTCAGGTTTCACAAATCACATAAATGTTTCAAATCCCAAACATGGACTAAAATATTCTGCTTTTAGCAGAATAATTTAGTCCAGGTTTGAAGTCTAGGAGCTGTAATGTAGGAACCGGAGTAGTTCTAGGGTGACACTGATGCAAAAAAAGAGGTGAAATCAATCTGTATTGAAGTTTCACATTTGACGCAGGTTTAGCACACCTGCATCAAAAAAGTAGATTGAAGATGCGGAAGGCAGTGAAGAATTACGTGGAATCGGAAACCAACTTCAGCCTCGTCTCACTAATGTCATCGGTGGAAAAAGACGCACAACTTAGAATAAGGTTTCCAAAAAATAACATCGAATAACCAGCGCAACGATTTCAAACACGGCGCTCCTGCGGCCCACTTGCCATCACTGCGGCCTACTTGTAGGTCAAGTACAACAAGTCGCCAAAGTAGGCCTCCATAAACACTGACACGATTTCTATCGGATCCACTAAAGTTTCAGTCATAAGGCTGGGCGTCCACTCGGATTCCGCGTCTTGGGAGATCAGAAATATACCCACATCTTTTTTTCAAATGATTACGTGAAAGCTGCGTTATATTTTTTATGTGCGTCACACTCACAAAAATGCCGTCATTTGCCACCGTTGCCAGATTTGAAATGTTTCTGTCCAGACACAGGGTAAAGCTAGACCTGTGAAACTTGCCCAACTGCGAAGAAACAGTACGAATCTAAACTTCGAATAAAACTCAGTTTAATAGGAATATATGTTTTACCCATAATCTATCCCTTATATATTTTTAGAATAATTTAGAGAAACAGTTACATTTTATATTTTTTATAATGTAGTAGGATAGAAGTTTTTTTTTTAAGTTTTCAAAATTTTAAAATGTATACTTTCTAGGAACTAATACAGTTTTCGAAAACTTTTGAGAAACAGTAAAAATGTATATTATCATTTTGATGTTTCTGAACTAAATAAACTTTAATCTATTCTGATTACATCCAGTTGCATACTGTTATATCAAGTACATATATCAATTATATAAAGAAACTTTATATAATTATCAAACTTTATATAATTATCAATTATTCAGTTATAGATGGTGATACAAATGAAAGTTTCTTTTGAGGTAATTTTTACCTGTTTTACCTTGTAAGTCAATCTTATCACAATTTTAATAAAGCTTTATTAAACTGACCAAAGGAAATGCAACATGAAAGGCATGAAAAAATTAATTGCCACTTCAAACACAAATCAAATAATCTTTTATTGCCAAAGAAACTATAAAAACAATGATGGAACAGGTTTACAAATCGGTCATCACAAGGCAGGAATGCATGTCCAAATGCGTCCAAGTATATAATGCATTCTTATAACGCATTTCATAACAATTGTGGTATGAATGTAAAAACAGAAAAGTAAACACCTGTTGGGAAATTTAAGCATCTTTAATACACATTTAGTTCTGTACTAAGTTGTTGTAAATTGTTTGCAGCTCTTTTGTAATGGTCCCAATTCATGACTGACCACAGTTGTGAAAGCTATGTTAATGTCATAAATTAAAAATTACTTATCAGAAAAAATAGAATAAATAGAAATTAAAATCCATGCTCTCTTATGGTGTGAAAAATCGACAGAGAACGTCATAAATTTCATGCAAAAGGAATGCAAAATGGGAAGATAACTTAGATCAAATGTGAGGATCGCAGGTGTTTTAAACCAGTCACAAAGCAGACCTCTACATGCAGGCAGGTGGAAATAAATAGATAATAGCTTGGAGACCCCTGAAACAGCAATGACTTAAGCACTGCAGGTGTAAACATAATAATTCTATTATAAAAATTGGAGTCCAACAGAGAAAAAACTACAATCGACAACAAAGCTAGTAGTTTTCATTGCAACTGCAGCACCATCTGAGAAGGCAACATTTATTTTCTTAAAGTGCTGGGTTTTTGATGATGAATTCCCCTGATCAATAATCACCAGTCTGTTCAGTAGCATTTGGTTGTTGAGAAAGAATCAATGGAGACATGCATCTGGTTGTGTTGCGGTTAGGAAGATTGTCCAAGAATATGATTTTATCACAGAATAAATATAGAGCAGCTAAAATGATAAACCTGTAAGCTGCTGCAAACAGCCCCCACTCACATCCCTTCAGACACACACACCACACATTCTGACACACAGGCACATTCTCTGTCTTTTAACCGATTGCACATTGTGGGTAGAGGACGTGGTCCCAAGGCTTGTTCAAGCATAACTGCTCAGCCCGGACACTCTTTGAGGTTGACAGGGCCAAACACGCCTGATGACCTGTGGAAGGAGACTGATACGTCGTTGACCTTCATGTCCTGGATACATCCCACAAAGGAGGATGTGACAGGAAGCATCTGCTGCATCAGCGTCTCTGTAAAAAACAAATGTTCAGATAGTAAACAAATTAGTGGTAACTTTTGTAACTTTGTTTTAATACATGATGGCTTGTTCAGGGATCTTCTAATATTGAACCCTAAAACAAATTAATCTTTTATTTTAATAGTATAGTCCCACTATGATACTGTGAATTTGAGCGAATTTATGTAATTGAGAAAAAATTTATATTAAAAAAAATTGCATAACTTATTTCCTTCCTACTGTGTGGTTTGCTGATAGAGTATATGCATGGTGGATAACAGCCGTCTTATTCATTCATTCTTTCAGTCATTCATTCATTCAAGGAGCTGCACTATGCAGAACTTTCTCATTAATTATGGTTGCGGAACCAATTGGAGGATTATTTTTGAACCAAATATGTATTTATTTAATTGTACATTATCTAACTTTACTCTACAAATTCTTAATTTTATGTTTGCTAGAAATGTATTTATTTGAAGTGGATTTGGTAGATAGAACACTCAGTGAAATGTACTAAAGTTCAAGAAGAAAACAGTGGTCATGTAACCTGTATATGAACTTGCAAAATGTTTATTTACATATTTGGCATTACTTTAAGTTACAATCATATTTTTTATTACATTTAACTTAGCATGAATTGATAATATTCAATTGTGAATCTCACTAATTAAGAACATTACGAACACTGATACTCACCAGGAATGCCACCGACATAAAGAGGATCTTTGGTCAAAGGGAAAGTAGAAGACGGTGGACCTATCTTGTAGTTGTCCAATGTGTCCACAGATAGTTGTACAACATTTTTTCTCTTGATTACTAGGAGAAAAATGGGGGAAAGATTTGAGACTAAGTAATTACAGGCACATAAGTAAACAAATACTTTTTTCACTAAAGTACTTATATTTTTTTACCAATGTAGCAGTAGGTATCATAGCTTTCAGCTGAAAAAGATACTAACTCTTTTTGGTAACAAAAATGACTCCTCCATTTGGATGAGTCAGCTTTACTGGTCTTAACCGAGCAAACAAAACAACTAAGGAAACTGCTGAGGCTACTAAAACCTGAAACCAAAGAGCAAAGCATCAAGGCCCGGATGAGCAGAGGTCATCTCTGCAAATTTATTTTGAGAAAATAAACTGATTCTTAAAATAAATTCTAGATTATTTTATGACAGAAGATTTTTTGAAGCTTGTTCCTGACTACAAATCCGTTAGTTATCAGCTGAGAATGATTATTATTGTTTGATGTTTGATTTATTTAGAGTGAATGAAGTTTCTGTAAACAAATATATTGAATAACATAGCATCACATATGGTAGAGATAAGCATTTTCACCATTCAGCACAATTCAAATAAAATTGTGTTTTTGACATGTTGATTGGATCTGAGAATCTTTTGACCATGACCAGTGTTTCAAAGCTTTATTCATAAATACAACAAGATGTTAAAAAGTGACATCCTAGAATAAAATATCATGACACCGCATAAGTGTGCAAAAAATATATATTTTGCTCCATAATCAATAAAAATTTTCTTTGTCCACCTCATTGTTGGTCTTAGTTAAAAACATGTGACTGCATTATTTCATATTTGGTTCAATATTTGTATTGGGTATTAGTACAATTTTAAGTTTTGTTTCACCTGAAATTTTATGAAATATTCCATCGCATAAAGAGATTTTTGGCTTCACTGATGTCATGTACTCTCCTCTTCCATTGTTCACGTGCGCCACCACCTGCAAATGGAAACATATGCAAAATCTCAATGTTAACCCCATACGAATAAAGCCAACTGCGATAATGAAGGTAGAATCAACTGACTTTGAAGCTACCAATTTTAAAACCAAGCCGACCTAATTTAGGTTGGCTTTATGCACAGCAAACATTTAAGACAGTTCTGTGGCAGCAGAAAGCATGTCAGTATTCTCACCTCTCCCCCGAGCATATAGATGCTGAGAAAGTGGCCCACTGTGTTTACATGACTAGTGGAATCACCGACATGAAGCAGGAGTCCAGTCTGACTGCGGGGACGTATGTTAAACAGCAGCTCCAGGTCAGAACCAAAAACAAAGGAGTCATCTGAAATACAGAAAACAAATGCAGCTAATGTGATTTACAAAAATGTAATGGGGAGCAACTAAGAAACCATATTTTTGAGTTTTGTAGTTTCTAAATATTAAATACTGTAAAACATTTTTCTAATATACTAAAATACGTCCCTAAAAGACTTAAATTATAAGTAAGATAATAAAAAAAATCACCATCATCCAATTCAGAGTATTACAGAACAACAATATTTCATTTGCTCATGTGAAGAAACCATGGTGCTCTTTTAAACGATAGATTAGAAATAGAAGTGTGGCACAAAAAGAGCACAAAAGTGATGCTACTTACTGATTACGACATGTGCTCCATTTCCTGCAAAATACGCCCCTTTTTGTGTCGGCCCTTCAAAGCAGGGTCCTGCACCATAGTTTGATGATGGGTTTAACATCAGTGCTCCATTCATCTTAAAATTACGCACACAGCCGGACACACTTTGCTTCGGCAGAGCCTTTGACTGAAAGTAAAAGTAGTATTTATTTTACTAAACTAGCCACAATTTTTCAGAAATGTTAAATGAATTTAGTGTTTTGCTACCTTTAACTCTTTCTGAAGGGATTCTGGTGCACTGCCCAGGTATGCAGGTAGGAGAAACTGCTGCATGGACTTCAACTCAGAGTTGGTCAGCTGACCATCCTGAGCTTTGATCCCATCTACAACCAACCGGAACTTCTTCTTTTCCAAACTGAATATGACCTACAGACAAATATGTTCAACACATACTTTGGTTCGCAAAATAGACTGAATGATGCAGGGATGGCAGTCATGATATAGCTGAAACAAGACATAAAACTGTGAGAAAAAACAACAACTTTTGCTGTTGTTTATCTAAGATTACTAAAATTATTTCTACTTCTTAAAAATAATGAGAGGATTTATAATCCAAATGAGAAATTGCATTATGGTTTTGCAAGCTTCTGGTGTGAAAACAGATCTGTAGTGCGATAAGGGAACATCTCAAACACACAGGTATCTTTTGTGAATTTATGGGGAAAAAAAATCTGCTGAATAAATGCCATTTCTTAATCCTTGACGGTACCATATTAATTTTCAAAACTACACTTTACACATGCATAAACACAATGGGAATGTCCAGGCTTGATAGTATAGGCAGGTTTTGTTTTCCAGAAATGAATGTTTGTTTCCAAATGTGAGCATTAACATCTGGCTGAAGTTGTATTGGTAAGCGAATGTAACTATTTGTAGTGAAATACCACCAGGAGCTGACAGGCCAATCAGAAAGGAATGGCATCATCACACGAAAAAAAACGACATAGACAGATGTTTTAAATTCTTGATTTTTCAAAACATGTCTAATTAAACTAAAATTGCCCATTATCACCATCCCCTTACAGAAAAATCACGTTTACATGTGAGAAAATTTGCAAGCAGAGCACTGAAAAAAGCTTGTGGGACAAGATCCTAATTTATCAACCAACACTAAACAGTTTCAAAAACAATTCTATCAACTATTAAGAAAATGCAGCATGTAAACTTTACCGCTTATTATTCTGGTATTTGGCAAATGCAAATAATTTTAGAAACCCTACCTGACCTAAAACAGAAAAGATTATGACTGATTTGATTTCACCCATGTCGAGGCAAGTGTCTTTTTTTTTTGAAGAGCATGTAAACATCAGGTTTTAGCCGTAAATGTACGGAGGTTTGTATACAGTGATGTATATTTACTAACCGAATGCCACTTTCCATCATTGTACTTCTCTCTGTTGAATATCTCCCTTTGTTTTCCCACAGAGAGTCTGATCCTGCCCTTAGACATGTACAACGCCAGATGAGACTGCCCTCCTCTGGTCGCTGCAAAGAATAGCAGACCTTCAGGAGACCGAGTCCTGACATCCAGAGAGAAGTGAGGCCTGGACAAAATAAAACAGAGAGAGAGAGAGAGAGAGAAAACAATCCTCTCAATTACAGCTCTGATTTTTATTTGCACACTTGGTATTCATAGATGTGAGATCATAAGGAAACTGGCCACTCACTTGGGTTGTAAGACCTGTAATGGTAGGCTGTAGCTTAGGCTGCTCGCAGGCCCTCCCATGCGATAAGCATGTTGAAGCGTGGCTGGGAATTCACAGACCGAAGTGCTTTCATTTATTATTTGCTTCACGCTATCCTGAAAAGTAGCACAAAAACAGAAAAAGAAGAAGACCCTTAATACAAGTTGATATTTGAATTCCTATCAGCTGCAGGTCTCTGGACGGCTCCCACCCTGCTGGGAAATAAGGCAGCATGCTTTTGAGTTGCAAAAATGATCACAAGCATGTGTTCTGCCAAATATGAAGCTTTTGTGACTTTAGATTTAGACTTTTTTTATATATATATAACAGGCCTGCTTTGTCTGTATTATTACTAGGCTACATTTTTATTTCTAAAAAGAATACCTGCTACTTTTTAAATCTTAAATTTCAGAAAACATTTTTTCCAAAATTAAATAATTTTAATTGGAAATTTCAGGCTTGTATTTGAGTAGTATAATAAATTCCAGTTTACTCACTTCACAGTAAAAGTCAGACTAATGGGAACTTTCTTTTTATTCTCATGTAGCATTTGTCTAAAAGGGCTTGCCTTCCACCATGAAGGTAAACAAACAAACAAAAAAGGGACAGATTAAATTTATTTACATGTAAAGTTTTTCTCAAATGGATTTCTGAAGTGGTTAATTAAATTCTAGTTGATGGTTGGTAGCTGAAAGTTTAAAATTGATATATGTTTCATTTTTTCTTTGGGCTCTGATCTACCAACTCCTTTTTTTTCTTTAGTGGATTACAGCACACAAAAAAGGAAAACAGTTCAGCAGATCCCTTCAAATAATACATTGTATTTTTGCATCAAAGCACAAACCCTGTGATATTTACCTGGTTTTGGCTCAAATTAAAGAAGTGAATCAACGACAAGCTGTTTATTGATATTTTTAGTAGACTAAATACAGTGGAAGTTCTTTGCTTGTACGCATGTAATGAATGTGAAAATATATAAATTTGTGCCTTTGACCTGTATACTACAAATTAGTCAGACAGTGGATAACTGGCCAATTGGCTAGCACAAGTCTATTTAAAAAAAATATCTCAAATTCAGATTTTATTTGTCATCTATTCACCAACTGATAAGAATTGCAGTTGGACACTGTCCTTAGGAGGCAAACTGTTTGTTTTCATTCATAGTTTTAAATTAGAATGGGTTTCGCCAGTGAATGTACTCTGTTCCTTTATCACCAAACCTCTAGCATTAATTGTACCAATCTAGCTCAGGTTCTAATAAAAATAAAGGTAAATGCAGATATGATCCCATGTCCTTCTATTTTATTGTGACACCTATTTCTTCACACTTTCATATAAAGCTTCATAAGAACTAACCTTTGCACTCCAAAAGTTTGCATTCCCTGATTTTTTATTTGATTCAGGATGTGTAAAGTGAAAGTGGCACCATATTATTGTACTTCCGTGAACCCGTGCGGCTGATAATTCATAATTCACGTTATTCAATTATTGTGAATCAAGGTTAATATATGGCTCCACACCAAAATATCCTATTGTTTACAGTGAGAATGAGCAAGCAAAGACAAGGGTGATTAGTGGAATCAATGTATTGTAGATTTGATTAAAGAAAAATAATCCAGAGGTGACAGTAAAGAAAAGCCTAGATATTTTTACCTCATGGTGAGGCTTATGCGAGTAATCCTCTAGCTTCTTCTCAAGGTCTCTTTTTTTGTCCTTCAGTGGATACTTAATGTATTCTTATGTAAATTTTAGGACTATTGTGTAAATTTTGTTGAAATCAGCTCATTCTTTCCTTTTTCTCTAGATTTTTTGGGATCTAAAACCATCTTCAAAATGTGCAGATTTAACTATTTGCAATGTTAAAGGACCTTCACTGCCTCTCCAATTACCTGAATGCAAACGGAAAAATTACCAAACTTTTAACTTGCGGTTTTCTCTATATGCTTATGCTCCTAAAACCTTTGCAGGAATAGTTGTCTTGAAATCTTTGCCGTAGGGCTAACTCAGTTCAAATAAATAAGCCAAAGTCTGATCTTCTATCTGGTACTACTGCAAACTAAAAAGTTGAAAATGTCTTTTGAGCATTTTAACCTCATGTCTACATGACCATACACAACATACTCACAGCTCACCCCTAACATTTCAGTCGGTGCTGTTCACTCTGCTTGCACTTGATTACTGCAACACATTTCTTTGAGAATTTCTTTTCTTCTGATATTTCTGTGAATTTGCACACTTTAACCGATGTCTCTGCTTCACCTTGGCTTCTTAAGCGAAGCTGGTCAGCATACATCATTCACACATTTAGCCGGAAATGCAACTTCATGATTATTTATTATTCACACAGATCAAAGAGTGTTAGAAAAGGTGATTAAAAAGTGATGGAAGCGGCCACTAAAATCGGCTGTGATTAGAGCACATTTCTTTGATTATATAATCAAGCATGATTTTATGTGTCATTAGTGAATTAAAAACAAGGTGCTTGTGAATGACTTAGAAGGATTACATGGAAGAAAGCGAAAAAACAGATTCCTTTCAGGGTTATTATTCACAATGTAGATAGCGGACACAAATATAATGGACAAAGGATGAAATGCAATACACTTTGTTGTTTGGCATGGGTACTGAAACATTCATAAACATTTTTTTATTATTGTGTAGAGTACACAGTAAATAAATGAGCTTGTGCATATGCTAGAAAAAAATCATAGGGGTACATCAGTCAGTGTTAGATTGATGTCGTCATCTGCAGGGTTTGGTCTCCTTCTTCTTCATCTCTAGAAAATGAGGCAGCAAAATTTAATACAGATAATGTCAAGTTGATAAAAGTGACAGTAAGAGGAAAATGCGATATGATTTCCTTCATAAGAGAGAAAGCAAGCATTAGGTCACAAATTATTAGATATCACAGTTTCCGCAGAGGAAAACAATACAGATTTAACAAAAAAAAACATTATTGCTGAGAAAATGTAAAATTATGTAAATGCATAACATGAACATTTTGAAATTTTTCCCTATCCATGGCTGTAAACATATATTGAAATGTTTTATTGCACATAAACATTTTTAGCTGAAGTACGTCATATGAATGTGTGATTGTTTTTTTCCTAATCCACCTAAACAGACTATGCCAGAAACTCAGATTCCCATCACTCCAAGATGTCAACAATGACCCACATTTTATACCTATGTGCTTTGCAGTTACAATGCTGTTCAGAACTGGAGCACATATGGAATGACATCATCACACTAAAGCCGACATAGTGTGACAACAACATATTACCTGAATAATGCTAATTTCAGTCATTCATCTCTGTGGTGAGTTATCAGCAGACTGGACTTTTCATGGCTTTAAAATCCCTTCATTGGTTGCCCATTTAAGTCTCCAAGCCACTGGAGCAGTCAGCAATTATTCTGACTGCTCATTAACTGAATAAATCACTGTCAAAATTTCATCAGAATAAATTAAAGCTGCAGTATTTCCTTTCACTCTTTTCCTGAGCGGTAAACACATTTTGGACATTCTGTCATCGTTCTTCAGTAACTTCTGGATGAATTGTCAGTTGCCTTGTGCTTTTTTCCACAAGGTTGTGTTTTGCTTGTGGAATAAAAGATAAAGAAAAGTAGTAAAAAAAAAATAAAACAAAAAAAAACAACAACTATTATTTATGCCTGCAGTCCCCAACTCTCTGGTGTCCTGCAAATTTTAGATGTGTCCCAACACTAGCACACCTGATTAAAAGGCATTATATACGTAGCATGCCTCCAAGTCTCAAAGAGCTACCAAAACCTCGTAGTTATCCATTCAAGGCAGGTGTGCAACAACAGATGCGGGACTGTGAGCCCTGAGGTCGTGGGTTGGGGAACTCTGATTTATACCCTTTTAATTTGGAATAATGGAATTAAGTATTTTACGAAGACAACTTTCTGATCTGGAATTCAGTTGTGCATAAATGTCAAACCTCACCTTTTTGTTGTTTGTTATCAGTTGAAAGGGATTGCTGACAGTGCACACATCTATCTGGACATCACCTGAAGCCTCAAAGTCATGTAAGTTTGCAGGCTTAAACACGTCGACTGGGCTGCAAAACACAATCACATCAGACAAAGATCACACCTTGGAAGAAACACGGTACAACAACCCAAATCACATATATTTAACTTCTAAAGCTGAAGTAGATAACTTTTACAAAAAATATATTTTGGACATATTTGTTAAAAAACTGCCATTTCATGACAGTATAATATGAGGCAGACAATCTGTGAAAAAATCAAGTTCCTCTGCCTACTCCTTTTGGTCCTTATGTCATCTGCAGAAATATAGCACTCGGCCAAAAACAACCAGAGCCAGGAGAAGGGTGATGATGTCCACCACCATCATGCTGCTCACAACCCCTCTCTTGCTCTCTGCTGCACAGAGCTGAGCTGAATGCATAGGTTAGGAAACATGGCCACTAATGATGGCCATGTTTCTCTGTAACAGTAAGTTGTTTGTCTGCCGTTAGCATGGCTCCAGCAAACCAGTAATCTTGAGGAGTACACAAAGACCTTCGTCCTGGATCTGATTGCATGTGTGAGTCTGGTTGCCTCATATTTCTGCAGAGAGCAATAGGACTACTGGGAAGAAGCAAAGGAGCTCATTTTTTTCACAAAGTATCTGTCTCATGTTACACTGTCACAACATAGTGACAGTTTTAGCAAATATGTAAAAAGTATTTTTATTAAAGTTACCTACTATAGCTTTAATAGGCACAGAAAGAAAGAAAAATTACCTTCGAGTGTACAAGTTGGAAATGCATCCTTTGAAATTATCTTTTCCGAGCAAAATAGAGCCCGCTGTGTCAGGTATGGATATGGTGCCACTCTCTTCCTGACCGTAGTCTACATCATCAATCTGCAGTGCAACACTTAAGAAAAAGAAAAAAAGAAAACAAAAACATTTGTAGCAACAAGTATTTCAAAATGTAACGTTTTCCTGATTTTGGATTAAATGTTATTTTATTTTAGGATTTAAAATAGTAAGCCTAAGTAATCACAGTTGTAACGGAAGAACTACACACTATGTTCAGTATTTCAGTAAGCATTACTTGGTTTCTTATTACATTCTTAGAACATGTGAAACACATTTTTAATACCTTCCGTCTTTTTTGGTGACAGTCACATAGTGCCAGTTTCCATCATTGTACTGTTTGTTTGATTTCCATTTCTTGGTGTCAAAGTGCAGAATCACATAGCCATTTTCCATAGCAATGTTTAACTGGTTTTCCTGGAGGATAAAACCACAATAAATATTTTATTTCTTTTTGCACAAGCATGTTAGAAAAGATTGTCATAAAATTGAGAAGTAACTTTACCAGTTTTTTGTTCTGCAAAATAATGCCCTGGGTCTCTGTGCTCTTGAATCCAAGAGACACAATTACGTTGTTTTCCAAGCTGAAATCTTGGAGATCTGCCTTCAGGGAGCTCCCCAAGTCAAACTGTGCTTTGAAAGAACTCTAAACAGAACGCATGACACACATGAAGATATGTGACAAAAAGCTTTTAAATAAATTCATCTTTAATTGCAATAGCATAATATCAAATTGAAAATAAAAATCCAAATGTTAATTTCATCAGATAAAGTTTAAGATGAAAGTACATTTAGAGTTGCCTTCATTCAACCCTCCTCTCTATCTTAGATGCATGCAAAGACAGCTGAAACCAGTCACTTTAGTGCCACATTTTTTATATGGTTTCATGTGAGTTTTGTTGTAATTATTAGTAATATTTTTATATATTGTTTTATACTTTATTTTAACCATACAGTGGATGTCAGTGTAAACAATGGTATTCAACAATAAACCTGGTTTACTTGAGGATTAAAAAATAATAATAATAACATTTTGAATCTAATTAGTATGTCTAGGAACAATAAGTAATATTTTACTTGCCATTCAAATAAGGCTAACATGTATCGCTAACCAGAGGTCTGGTATTGGCTTCTCAAAAAGCTGCTTGCCTAAACTTGCGCATATTTACAGCGGGACAATAATTTAAAGAAAAACTGACTAGATGAAAGCTTCATTTTTCCACATCACACAGAGAGCAAGGTCCTGAAAGAAATAAACAAATCTCCAAAGCTATGAGGGCATAGACAACTGCTGCAAAGTGTGGCCTCAAATTTGAAAGTCTCTGGGACAAATATACATCTTCATGCCAGCTAAAAGAAATGTATCCCTGTTCACCCTCACAAAAAGGAGTCACTAAACACTGTTGGGGCTTTAGTAAAATGTAACTAAGTTTTTAATCAAAGATTGGATGTGAGATGACCATAAAGGAAGATTGACTTTGATTTGAGTCTTTGAAGATTTGGCTACTTGTTTTATATCTTTATCTTGCTACAATTGCTAATGGTAATGTGTCTGGCAGAGACCACCTGAGAGTAGATTCCTTTTCTACAAACGAATGACCTTTCATTGTCACTTCAGAAAATAAAAATGAAACATTTCATTTTTACCTGTATAGCAGAAAAACTTTATATGCTTCTACACTAGACCACAACTCCGTATGTTCTTACCTTGTGAAGTATTACAGAAGAAAACAAAATGTAGTTTTTTAGGTAATCGGATGAGACTTATTGGTCAGATTAAGAGTACCTTGAAAAAATATCAACCTTAAGAAGGTATGTCGATCTGATGTAATATTCTAATCTTAAAAGTCATGTTTTCATTATCTGTATGTAAGAAATAATGATCACTAGTATGTAATGCGTTTCAATTAGAGGCAGAGTGACTGAAGTCAATAAACTTTTCAATAATCTAATTCATTGAATGGATCTGTGCTTTTCCTCACAGTAATAACAATATTTCAGTTGCTCAGTGTAAATAAGGTGAAAGTCATACCAGTGAATCTCGTAAGCAGCCTTTGCTGATTCCCACTGGTTCATCAACCGGTTTAAAATTGCTGTTCACCTTCAAATCTTTCACACATCCTTTGAATGGTAGAGTGGTGATGCCCCACCTTAAATAAAAAACAAACAAACAAACAAAACAAAAACCCCACAGGCTATATACAGGTCTCATTTAAACATGATGGAAATACACAAATAAAAAAATGCTGATAAGGATGTACCTTTTCCTGATCTCTTGTGTTACACCACCAGTATAGAAATCTTTAATGTTGCTGAAATCGTTTTGAGTGAATGGGACCCCAATTGGTGAGCCGCTAGTAACAACACTTATTTTGTCAGGCCTAAAAATGATCTTGACAGTCACAAAATCTTGAACCTAGAAAGAAAAGTAGAAAAAATAAATAAATTGTTAATTTTGAAGGGAATAAAACTCAAAGGAAGACCATCCAGAAGAACCACAAAAAGAAGAAAATCTGCCTTACTGGGAACACTTTTTCTGATCCTTTAGATGGGGCTGGGATCCCATTACTTTGAAGAACAATGTAACCCTTCTCCACAGTCACCATTAAGTAATTATTCTGTGTCACAGAGGAGAAAAAAGAAGTTATGGTAAACATTATTATACACTGTAATTTAATTAGAAATGTAATTAAATTCTAATCACAAAGATTCTTTACCTCATCTCCCATGAAGAAGAGTAAAGCATTTTCCACGCTAGACTTGAAACTTATGTCAATATTTCTTGGCGTTTGGCTTAGGTCCACTCTGCCATATCCGGTGCCTTCATAAAAGTCTGCATCTACTGGACTTCCAGTTCTAGAAGGAACCAAGCAGCAGACAGAAAAACATGTCATCAAATTCTGAAAATAACACACAGACTCACTGACATCAAAATGATACTTCGAAGTTGTAATCTCAGTACCTCTTGCAGGGAGTCTGGACATTGATCCTTTCTTTATTTTGGAAATTGTAGAGACTCATGGCCTTCCTGTTAAAGGTGGAGAACTCGATGCAGCCCGTGTATTTTGGCAACTTCATAGAGGGAGGAGGCTGAAGTGAAACGGAGCACAAGAAAGAATTTCTGATGACTATGCTGGACACAAAACCGTCTGTCAATTGAATGTCGGTACGTGTGCTACAGCTCCTCACAGTGAAGTTGGATGGGTAGCCTCCAACGTAGAAGACAACGTCATCAGGACTGAATTTCAGGAGGTTCTTGTTCTCCCATCCTTGCCTGGTTTGACGACTGCTATACTCCTTATCAGGTGGCCCAGAGGTTATGTCTTTGGTAAGCTTTAGCTCCACATCTTGGTAAATTCTAAGTCATAAGAAAGAAAAAATGGAATTTGTGATTATTACATCTACTCATCTTTCTACAAAACAGAAAGATGACACTACGGCAATATCCATATATCGCCGTAATGATATGTACAGTTGGAAAACCGTAAAATCTTTAGAAGTGCTTTCTTCATAACCCTGCTACAAATGTCAACATATGTAATTGGAAATGTGTGCAAAAGACCAACATAAAATCTCTCTGCACTACACATAAACATCTCTGGACCTACTCTTTTTAGTGTCGGCACTGCACAGTGCTTCACATAATTTAAATTTTAAATTTAAAACAGTGTTAGGTGCCAAATTACCTAACACTGATGTGAATTTCTTCCTAGCTTTATCCTTGACCTATTTAGTGTGTACATAATGTTCATGATGCTGTTTATTTATTAATGATTTCAAACCGATTGAGGTCTTCATAAAAACAACTGGATTTATACTGAGATTACATTATAAACAGATTGGCTGTATTTACTTCTGAAGGGAATTGGGTACATTGAATTTCGATTTGGGTTATCAGAAGATAAATGAACATTGGATTTTCAAGTTTAAACTTCTAAAGATTTTTGGAAAACATTGCTAATTTTCCTTGCACTTCTATAAACTTTGTATTTGTCTATCACATATATGTCTAATAAAACATAATTCAATTTGTGGCAAAATAAAACTAACTGTTGAAGAGACACTGTAAGAGCTGAGCTGAAGTAAGGTAGCTCACCTGTGCAGATCCACTTTATCAAATGTGGCCGGCTGAGGGTCGGAGGTGGAAATGAAACCAGACTCCAGCTCATACTCCTGTCCATTCAGTTTGTAGAGGCCATACAAGCGATTACTCCTCAACACCATACCTATGTAATTCTTTGAGGACTGCAGGACATAGTTTTGTTAGGACTCATGAGCAAAATTACAATCTAAAAATCACCACGGATATTGATTCGCTCACATCTCTGTTGCCAAGGTACAACACAAACATATCTGTATTGTCTCCAGCTTGTCTGCGCCTGCGGCTTCCATCTCCTCTCCCCTTGGGTCTCTGCAGTGACAAAGACAGGGTTGTATAGGCCTTCAGGTCATCTAGATTCTTTGGTGGGCGCAGCTCGACGTGACCATCCCCAGCAAAATTCATGGGGACCGCAATCTGAAGAGGAGACAAGACAAACTGTTATATAGACATGTAGACCTCACCTTGATTTGTTAAAGAAATAGATTATGCTACTCTGTGAGAAAGTATTTCCCTCCATACAGATTTCTTCCCCCCACTTCAATTTCACACATAATGGTTCAAATTAATTTTGATATTGTAGAAGGATAACTTTGGTGAATAAAACAAATCTGTTTTAAAACTATCAATTCACGCATTAAAAGAAATAAGCTTTGCAAACCAACCTGACCCTATGCAAGTAAGAAAATAATTCCCTCCATGACGTAATAAGTGGTTGTGCTTTCCCAGCAGTAACAACTGCCATCTTACGCTTGCAATAATTCCTATGAGTCTTCCACAAAATTCTGACTCTCTATTTTGAAAAGTAGCTTTTTTGTTTTCCAGCCACAGTTGAGGGTTTTGGAGCATGAGGAGCCTTTTTAAGATCATGCCACATCTTCTTTAAGTCTAGATTTGACTAGGACACTCCACAACCTTTATTTGGTTTATTTTTGTGCCATTTAGACATCGGTGTCAGCTCAATGACATTCATGCTTCCATCAAATAAGACAAGTACAAATTAGTTCCGGGACTAACATCCCGCTTACTGCTGCCATGTTTGACTGTCATTATGATGTTTTGTTTCTCAAATACTGCATTAGTTTTAAATCAGATGCACCTTCCAAAAAAGTTCCACTTTTGTCTCAATAGTCCACAGAATAATTTCCTAAAAGTGTTAGGGTTCATCTACATGTTGTTCTTTTTCCTCTTTAAAAAAATAATCATTTGAAAACTGTATTTATAAATTCTGTCTGGTATTAAAATTTAATTGTGACAGCTAAACAAAAGCATAAGAAATTGGACAGGGTGGAAACATCTTTTATGGAACTGTATTTGCATGTAAGGGTGGATTTAGAGGGATTGATTGCACACACCTTGTTAGCTGCATCTCTGGCCTGTTCAATAAGTTCTTTGATCTTCATTATGTTATCAGATATATTGTTGAGGCCTGGAAACCCGGAAGTCAGGTTTTCAACCTCAGAGATCTTGTCGTCCAGTGATGGAATTGTTTTCAGAAAATCCTCCACTGTGTTTAGAAGTTGAGAGACAGAAAAAATTAATGTATAAAATAGTGTTTTTTTACATTTCTATTCACACAGAAATATATTTAGTATGACCATTATCGAGACAAAGGAGAAGCACTTCATCAAAATAATTAGAAAACTCACCAGACTTCTCCACTTCATTAAGGTCTTTGCTAAGATTGGCGTTAACAGGAGACACATTGATTTTGTCGATTTCCTCCCTAATTTTATTGAGTTTGTCCATAGTGTTGGCAGCTGTGTTATTGGCTGAAGTTGCTTTCCTCTTGGCTTCCTCAATCATATCCGCAATGGCATCTGATTGAAAAAAAAACAAAACAAAAAAAAACAATGCATAGCCGTTATAGCAGTCACAAATGTCTTTCTCAGACAGAAGTAATATAAAACTTTGAGGCATAACGAGGTCTGTCTCAGAAAGTGCTTTGCAGTTCCTGACAACATATGACTTTGTCTGGTAAAGTAAGTTTATGCTACTATTATGACTAGTGGAAGTGCAGATAAACGCTTTAAGCAAACTCTTCACTTGAAGTAACTTTTTCAGTATTTTAATCTCTTAAAATCCTGTAATCCGTACAATGATAAAACTTGAAATTATTAAATCTAGACATAATACACAGTTTTGTCTTTAATGTTTACTCTATTAGTAAAAATAAACAAAATCATTGGAAGTTAGTTATTTTTACATTTTTACTGAAATCTTTCCTAGTCTTCATAATCTCAGTATTGTGAATGAATTGTCTTGTGATCTGCATGCATTGTTATAATGCCAATAACATGTTTTTTTCTATTATTCTAAATAATTGCTTGGATTTTTTTCTACTCCACCTCTGCTGGTGTCATTTAATTGTCTCTCAACATCAGAGAGGCGGTCCTTGAGATCATTTTTCTTTTCTTTTGCTTTGGCCAGACGATTCTTCAAGTCATTGAGGTCATTTGCAAAACCTGCAACAACAACAAAAAAGAAAAGCAAGTAAGTTTTAGTTTATTTCAAAAATTATGGATGGAAAGGGAGTCCAAATACCTTGGAGATCTTGTCCTGAAACATTGGCCTCTTTCAATAGGGCACTGCTCTTGTCCTTTAGTTCTTTGGCTTTATCTGTGAGTTTCTCTTTGTTTACAATCTAAAAAGAAAAATTTCCAAAATGTAAGCTTCTTTGTTCCACATTTCATCGTTGCATGTTCTGTTCATGTACTGATTTCAAAAGCTTACATTGAGGGCATTATCTGCAGCGTCTTTGGCCTCCATAGCTGCTGCCTCTGCAGCTTTAATCGCTTTTGTAATGTTCTTATAGGCCTCAATAGCATCCTTTGCATCCTGCACCTTGGGAAGTTCACTTGCATTCTTCATAGCACTATTGAGATAAGATGGTTCTTAGATATTTTTACAAAAAATATTTTCAAATATTATGTCTGAATTGTACTGTTTGAACTTTAAAATCAACTATGGAAACAATATACTATACTAATTAATTTTATCAATATGCCTTTAATATGCCAACTGTAATAAACTTACTCCTTGATTTGTTTTGCTAGCTCGGATAGCTTCTTCGCATGCTCCTCTGCAGCCTCCACAAGGTCCTTCTTTGCCGCTGCGTTGGTGATCTCATTCACCTTCTTGGTCAAATCAGTCTTGGCACCATCCAGCTGTGCAGCTAGAGCCTCATACTCCTGCAGAACAAAAAGAAGGCAGAGCGTGACAAGCATTGAATTACAAGAAACAAGAATCTGTCACAGACTTTGCTTCAAGTTGATTTGGATGAAATGATAAATTTTCTCATCATTCATTTCTCTGGCACTAAAATGTGTTTGATGATCTGAAACATTTCAGTGCAAAAGAAAAAAGAAATCCTTTAAGGTGTCCAATATGATTTGAAGTGGAGGTCTATGACTAGTTAGCGTGTTAAAAACTCAAAAGTAGATTTGTAAATGCTCAAATTTACAGCCATACATTTTGTAGGTTGGTATTTATGGCTTGATTTATACAAAATAATTCAGGAAGATATGTTGAACATTTGTGAAATTTACCGTCTTACTGTCCGAGAGCATTTTCACCAAATCCTCTGTCTTCTTCAGTTCTTCCTCAGCCACAACTATCTGTTTCTTAACAGTTTCACGCTCGTTTTTTAAGTCATCAACACGTTTCTGCAGGGAAAACATAAATCAACTGAGTTGGTGTGCTGACAACAGGGTTCACTGTACAATTTCAGATACCCTGTGAAGTTTCTAGCACTATGTCTGCAAAATACCATTGCAAATGACAGTTAAATGAATGTTGATTATTGCTATTAACTAACAAGCATGTATGAATTGCTGTTTGCTTACCTCCAGGTTTTTCAGTGTCTGGGCATTCAGACCATTTTGGGTATTGGCTTTTTTCACCAGGTTTCTTGCTTCTTCCAAAGCTTTCTCTAAGTCCTTCAACTTGGCATTGTAATCCTTCAGGTTGCTGTGGATCTTCTCTGCTGCAGCCTCATTCTGGTCACTCTGCTTACTAAAATTATTCTTGATGTAGTCAAGCACTAGAAGTTGATGATAGAGTGTGGTTTGTCAGTATGACTTATATCACACATCACAACTACTCTGGTTACGCCCATTAGGATATTCTGTATGGGGTAACTTACATTTAATGGCCTCAGCTCTCTCTTTCTCAGCAGCTGTCTTCTGAGCGGTGAAGTTTCTGTTCTCCATCTCTGTCACCATGGACTGAGCCTTCTCCAGCATTTTAGTCAAACTATCAGCAGGCAACGAATCACCTCGACCCTCATTCTTCAGCTGAAAGAGTAAGTCTTCAAAATACCCATAATGTGAGTAGGAGGAGGAAATAAAAGAAAAATGAAACACAACATCAGGAGAAAATTTGTCTTTTGCTTCCTTATACCTTTAATTTTCGCAAGCATTTTTTGGATCTCGTCTTCGAGGTCTTTTGCCCTTTTGTGGGTTTTGTCAGCATTGGCCACGGCTTTGTCAGCGTCTCCAGCACTTTTATCAACCTAAGTAAAATCAAGTTACAAAATTACACATTTACAGACCTGCTCCTTAAATTACACGCTGAAGCAATCATAAAACATCAGACATGTTTTTGAAACCTTGTCTTTCATGGATTTAATGTCATCTGCAAGGCTGTCAGCGTCTTCCTCAAGCTGGTCCACTTTGGACTTTTGAATGTTAATGACAGTGCTGAATTTGTTGACCAGGATCTGCAAAGTCAACACACAATGTCACATCTAATGTCAAAGTGGGATGTGCTGCTTTGTGAGCAAGAAGACATAATGCAAATGGGTGGCGCCAAATAGAGGGCACTACTGGAAGAAAACCCGTAAAAAGTTGAAAAGGACTTGCGCTATCTTGCAAAAACAGATGAAGACATAAGCATTACCTTAGTATCAGACACAGCCTTTTCAAGCTTGTCCAGCCTTTCCTTTAAGGCGCCACTGACGGAAGCATTATCTAGTTGAGCCTTCATCCTTGCCAGCTCAAGGTCGAGTTTTTCCAAGTCATTTAGTAACGTCTGAGCACAATTATCACATTCTGAAAGAAAAACAGAGGACAAAAGAAGAACATCACACTTCAGGTATTATGAATGGCCGGAGATATCATCAGAACTCTGAGATTACTTTTCTTTTATATATTCACCTTGACAGTGTTCATCTGTGTTTGTGTCTCCTGGCTCCAGGGAGTTCTTGCAGACTGTAAGAAGAGCACAATGGATTTGAACTGCAAACTGATTTTAAATGATTACATATTTTAAAGAGAAAGAATGCAGGATCTAACCTCCAGTCCTACGATCACAGTTGTTTCCATTTCCGTTGCAAGTACATGGCTGGCAATTTCCTCCTGGTATCAGCGGGTCACCATAATAACCAGGAGCACAACTGCATAAGAGAAGGCATTAATGAATAGGCATCAAATTGGAAAGAAGCCAGCAGCATTCCTGTCTGCACGTTCTGGGTCACTCACCTCTCACACCTGACTCCAGTGTAGCCCGGTTTGCAAGAACACTGGATGTCTCCCAACACATCTCCGCAACTTACTGCAAAACTGATCGTGAATCAGAGAGATTACACTGTTGTTACCGAAATAGTTGCATTAGAAAACAGCAAAACAGTAAATTTTTTTTTTTTTTCCACCCACCTGTTTGAGGGTACACTAAATGGGCATGGACACAGTTTGCATGTCCTCAGTGCTGCGCTGCCAAAATAACCATCCTTGCAGCGCTCACATCGGTCCCCACCAGTGTTGTCCTTGCAGCTCTGAAAAAGTCAGAAGGCATTCATTAGTCATTAATAAGCTAAGTCTGTTTGATTTTGAGCTATAAATATGTAGTTCAGTGGAAACACTTCAAGCACAGGCACAGACTTAAGTGTCTTGCATAACAATTTTCCAACTGGAACTCCAAAGAGCAAAAACTCTATGGTATCTCTAAGGAGGAAGAGAGGAAGTTGTTGGGAGAAATTTAAAAGAGGATTTTTAATGAGAATTAAAACAAACATTCCAGCGGTAACAGATGTAGTTGTGTGCACTGAAGTTGAGAAGTCCCGTCTATGACTAACTTCAAGTGGTCAATCAATTTCCAAAAACATTCTGAAAAGTTTTGACCTGACAATTAAGATTTTAGCTGCTACATATTTTTATTTCTCTTGTTTTAAATACTTTCTTGTAGTCCTCCTTCTATGTGCCTTTAATTACTTCCATAAGCAGCAATATAACAGGGTTTTAATGTTTTAAAACAAAGACAAACTAATTTTTGCATTTTATATTAAGGCTTAGCACGATTATCAACTGGAAACTATAGTCTCTGTGTTTCCTGGAGCATTAACTTTGAAATTTCAAAAAGGCTGCCAGCATTTCAAAATCCAATGTGTTTCATAGCAGGTGGAAGCTGGAAGTTCAAACCAGAACTACTTTTTAAATTTCTTGTAATACGTTTAGTCTTTCAGCTGTGGCTTCAGACTCGTTCTCTCTGATCTAACACTGTTTAAACACCGTACTGATGCAACAAATTGATTCTGAGCGTTCTTCCCTTAGTAGAATGCGCTACACTAAAAGGTGTTTTTCTTAGCCTGACTTGGTCAAGCTTAAGTTATGTTATTTTATTATTTTTTGGGGGGAAAGTTGAAGTCAATTTACAGAGTGAAATGACATTATCTAAACTATTAGGAAAAAAAAGATTAAGTGCTAATCCTGTTAATACCTTAGCAAATTATGCCACAGTATTACGCCATGGTTAGGTAACAATTGGCCAATTCAGATCAAAAGCCACTTTCTTGATGTGAGATTTCTTACCAGACACCTCCCTGTTTCATCTTCACACTCGTCAGCCAAACCGTTGCACTCACAGGGCAGACAACGGCCAAAACTCAGCCAGCTGGTCTTTCTGTAGAATCCAGGAGCACATTTCTGAAAGAGAAAACACACACCAAAATAAAGAGATTATTACGCAACTTCAAAGCATTATTCTCTAACTCTTTTTATAGGTGTAACGCTGTAGGAAGGAAATACATACTGGCAGTAAATTGGTTTGGAACATCGCAGTTCAATTTATTAACCTTAAAGTTGTTTTGTGAATGCAATTATCAATGGTAAAGCTATTAATTAATTGCCTCCATGTTGAACATCATGTTAAAAACAGATCGGGAGGTTTTTCACTGCACATAGCAATAAACTTAGCCTGAATTTTGCTTCATAACATATTAACAGAGAAACTTGCCCTTTGCTTTTAGAGATAACAGCCATTAAATCACTAACACTTGAAGGATGAAAGACAGCGGAAGCAGCAGCAGAGGTGAAAAAAAAAACATTATTTCGCAACAAAATGCAGCATAGGATTTTACCTGGACCTGAGAACTAGCATCAGAAACTGACGGATACTGAATGACCTGTCCTTGGCTATTTAAGGACGGATATGTTATCTGCTGAGCTCCCTGGCTGTCAGTCCTCTGAGGCAATCTGTGATGATGTCCAGTGCGGTGGGGTTGCGCTCGTTTGCCAAAAGGTCTGGGTCCAGAAGAGCAAAGACCAATTAAAGTCCAGCATATTAGGATCCGCAACAGAACCCCTCTACACCAGCGCCTATCCATGCACGTATCAGACATTCCCGGTGTTTTTCCTGCGTGAAGTAAGTCCTTGCTCCCCCTGTTCTCAGCCTCTTAAACATGCACACACTGAGGCACAATGAAGACACACCCCGTATACCTGAGTCAGCCGGGCAGGTCAGCATGAGTCTACTTGGTGTATTCCAGCACTTCCATACAAGTGTTTACATGCTCACCTGCGCTCTCTTTCCCTCTCTCTCTTTTACGTTCTTCTCAAAAAATGTACATACACAATAAGATAATCTTGGTGGCTGGAAAACAAATTTAGACCGTAAAAGGAGACCGAGGGTATGCATGGACAGGTCTTAAAGAAAGAACATTAAGTTGACAAAAGTCAGGGATGCCGTTGGGCTATAGTTATGGCTAAAAGAATTTGACAACAATGTCTTTAGCTTCATGGTTGTCAAAGTGTGGTATCTCTGCCGCTGGTGGTACTTCAGCTGGCTTTAGTTCTGTTCACAATAAAAGTATTTAATTATTTCCATTGTGAACAACAAAAAAAACATATTCCTTGAGACGTAGTGGGCAAAAGTGAAGAAGTGATAACACATAGTCAACATAAACATAAACTTACAATAAGACAAATTACTCAAGTAAAACACCTGCACTTCTGCAATGTGAACATAATGGCATCTATCATGGTCGTATACATTCAGACGTACTAATGTTCTACATTTAAGCTCGGATTGTAAACTGTTTCATGAGGTTGGGACAGAAAAGCTGAAAGCTTTGTTCCCCTGTTCTGTTCTGACATGAGGAACATCAAATTGAAAAAGTCTTGAGACCGGAGGCTGTTATTTAAAGTTAAGAAAGACGAACGATAAGGTGCTGTCAACTTAAGAATAGCTTTATAAATCAAAACATACCAATAGCCAAGACAGGCAGGCATGCAGACATAAACATTTTACCTTAGTATACAAGGTAAGTCAGGGATGAGATAGGGCTCCATAATTTATAATAAATAGCAAGCACCTTCATATAGGCTATCCAGCATGAGCAGAGGTGTTTGTGAATCATATATAGGCATTATTGACTATTATTGACCAATAACTAGAAGAAAAGTTGACTCCACCAATTTCTATCTTACCTTAAAAGAAAAGCAGGATTTATAATTCAGGGAAAAGCTTCATATTTTTGTCAACAATTAAGACATGGAAACAAATTTAATTTGTTGGCCATCAGTTCTGGTGATAATGGAGGGGTTTGACCTTGCAGTTGTTGAGCTGAGAAAGAATCGGTCAGTGACATAAACATTTTTCAAACTTCATAGTTTTTGTAAAAATATAGTAATAAACAGTCCGTGTGGATAATGTTTTTATTCTCTTCTGTTTTCTGTAAGGTCAATAGAAATTCAGCTACATAGAAAACTTTGCATTTACTTGAAAGGTATTTTGTTATGAATATTTATGAACTGTTGCTTTTACATTATTTATATATATATATATATATATATATATATATATATAAAGATAGCTTTATTAACCGGGTAAACCCCATTGAGATTTGGGTCTCATTTTCAAGAGGGACCTGTGCAGAAGTCTGCAATACACAGCAACCTGGTTACAGAATAAAAATATTACTGAGTGTACAAAAATTTGTGACTGAAGGCAAAGTCAGACATCCTTAGATGATACAATTCAGACATTCATTTGTGAATCACTGCCAACACACACGCAGCAGACACACTTGGGTGTGTCAGATGCAGCTACAGACAAATGCGTGTGTTGGAGGAACACTTAGGTGAGCACACTCAGGTTTATGAGCAACGTTATGTTGCCTAGAAACACACCCTGCGCTTCAAGGCAAGGCGCCGTGTCATAGCACCTTCGGGCACATATAATTAACTTCCTTCAAACATGCCCAATCAAACACACACACATGTAGGTTTATGGAAACAGCCTTACAAGAAAAAACATAACACATTCCCTTGCAATAATGTCTCTAATAAATCTACAAGGACACCTCTTCTTTAATTACTCGTTGCTTGAATTTCTTTCTTGATTTGGTTTTGTGGGCAAAACAACGGAAATATTGTGAATACAAACTAGTTTTTCAGAGCGCTATAAAAAGTTCATTTAACAAAAACAAAATAATCTTTCTTCCAAAGTAACTATATGAAACGAATACTCAGGTAACTAATTACAGGAAGCGCTAACTATTCTGAGTTTGGCTCCCTAGGATCACTAATATTATACCCACATAACTGTGCCACATAAAGTTGTCTGGGGCTCCACAACATTGCTGCGCTGTTTTCAGAATGTGGTATTTTCCAGCAAATTCCTCTGCTGATCAGTTTTTCCTCCAGGAAAAGGGTGTGACATTTTGTTCAGACATGTTGGGACACTCCAAAAATTATGAGGACCAGATCCAACTTCTTAACAAGACAGGATGCCGTTTCTGCCCCACCCGGCTCCCCACCCTTCCACTTGTGTTGCTGTTTTTTTTCTCAGTGTTTTCTTGTATGTTTCTTTTACATTTGTTTCTTCTTTTTTTTTTTTTTTACTAAAGACAGGATTTGATAAGGAATAAATAATGATCATGTGACAAAAATTGTGGATTTTGCAAATTGCAAAACTTGTTTTTTCAAAACTGATGAAAAGACAAGACAAAAACTTGTGAGGAGGGCTTCCAAGATGATGAAGGACAAAATAAAGAAACCTTCGTAATTTCTAGTCAGTACTCTCTGTGCACTTACAATCTTGTCAAAAATGTAGCCTAAAACTAACGTTTTTTGTCTAATGAAAACAACCAGGATTGAAATTCCACATCACTGAAAGCACATAAAACCTACACTGAAATAGGGTGGTAACAGTACTTGCTCTAGTGTTAATTTTAATAAAAATAAAATAATGTTTTTACTAAGTTGAATGACTAAAAATTGTTCCAAATGCAAGTCAGTTTTGATAAGAAGGGAATTTATTTTTAGCAATGTATACGTCCAAAAAAATAATTGATTGACTTCAAGAGTTAAACATTTTAGTTTAGGTTAAGTTCAGAAATATATCTTGCAGAAAATCTGGAGTCACCCAAAATGGGCAGTGCACAATACATGCCCTCACAATCTGAAAAAATTGTAAAGACGTCCGGAAAATTCTTTATATCACCAAAACCTACCATTTAAACGAAGTATACACATGATACATACAATATATAAATAAATGATTTAAATGAATACAAAAAAATAATTCTACTCTTTTAACTATTCTGAAAGCAACGACATCTTGACTTACAGGGCAAGTCAGGATGTCGACAGGATTACAGGGTAAGTCAGGAAGAGCTGACTTACCCTGTCTTCGAAATTGCATATTTCTATGCAATTTGCATGCTTTTAATCTGAGATCAGTGTGTGTCTGCTCATAACTTCTCACCTCACAGGAGTCTCCGGTGTACTCAGTGGGACAAGAGCACACTTCCACAGTGTTTGCTGGACCTCCAGTTCCTGACTCCGTTGCCTCCTCCAGGCCCACCTCCCCCAAACTGAGTCGCTGGGTCTGAGTAAAATACAGGGCTCTGATTCTCAAGCCCACCAGACCTGCTAAGACCATCATGAGCTCCTGTCTGGAGACAGGCCTGTTGGTGCCTGCATGACGCCAGTTTCCCTGCAAAAAATGAGAGTATGGGGTCAAATCGAAACAACATTGTGGAGTAGAGTGCGTTCAAGAAAAATATTGAAAGTATCCTACTGTGTATTGAAATCTGTAAGATATTCTTTATCATTTTTGTTTGATGTTTTCCTACTTCCAGTTTAAAGTTCAAAATTTAAAAAAACATTCTGTAATTTAGGACCAATCTGTATGACCCCTGCTTGGTTAAACATCAGATTGTACTAAAATCCATTCTAAAATACTTACATGTATCAGACAATATAATATATTTTACCTCCAAGAGTTGGACTCTGTCTTGGTGCAACCTGTCTGGAAGGGGAGCCTGTGAAGCCACATGGATCAAGCTCATAGCCCGACCCTAACGGAGGAGAAATAATAAAGAAGCAAATATGACTGATTTTTATTAATGAAAGCAAAAAGCAGGTCAGTCAGGCTGAAGTACTGGGACCATTACATACAGTCAGCAGAACGTCTGGTTGTCTGTCAATAAGAGTCATGCCCTCACTTGGAATCCCAAATGATTTGGACTGGTAGGTGAGGAAGCCACCATAAGATGAAACCTAAGAATTGATAAGGAAGAGTAAATATCTGTTATTTGAATGAGATTTCAGAAAATTAGACTAACATTTCAGGAAAATGAAATGTGTATGAAATAATGGATAATTTCTCCTTAACAATTGAATTTTGTATTCGATTGAACAAAACATATTACGTCTGCTTTTGGTGTCAGTCAAATATTAATATAATAAGGGGTTATTTATTTGAACATTGCACCTACAATTAGTGTAAATTTAGACATGATGGTAATTAGATTCACAAAAATTCTTTGCTCATTTTAACAATTTGTAATCAATTTTGCAAACTGAATTTCCAATTAGATATAAGCTGAGACGATATACTGATTCATGGGCACATGAAGAGCTGTGTTTCAGGATGAGCTGACTTACCCTATCTCCCAAGTAGGACTGTGGCGCCACCCAGTGTAGGGCTTGAACTGCAGCAGGAAGCTCCTGAATATCAGCCACTGCTGTGTTACTGATAGCGTTCAGCACTGAAGGAACCTCCTCCCCGTCTGGGCTTTCCAAACGCCAGCCACGCATCTCAACAAACTAACCACCGTAAATTTTAGGAGAAAAGATACAGGAGTTATGATGTACTACAGTAAATATTATGTTCATAATGGCTTTCTGTACTTTGATTTTACAGAACAGTGTGTCTTTGGCAGAACAGAGACGATGCTTGTGCATAATTTTTACTTTTCAAAAAATAAAGAGTACCATGCAATTATTAGTTGTATTGTTGATATTGTTTTCTTATCATAGCTCTAATTAAATAACTATTTAATTATTCACAAAGCTCTGCAAATGATGTGTCTTATATGATAAGAGATGCAGTTTCTGGAGGTAATCCAACCTTTCCTCGCCGTTTGTTGGAGCTCTGACACTGATTGGTCGCTTCAAAGCAGAAGCAGCTGGAGCAGCCAAGGAGGTTCGATGGATCAAAGTAGAAGGAGCCTTCCCGGCACGCATCACATCTGACACCTTCAACGTTTTGCTGTAAACATATCAGTCGGAACGGAAAGGTAAAAAAGTAATCAAAAGAGTTTCTAAATCATTGGTTTGTTGAGCTGAACTCACCTTACAGAGACACCTGCCTGTGTCTGGGTGGCACACATCGGCTGTGACTCCTCCCTGGTTGCACTCACAGGGCAGACAGTCGGGAAAGCGATAATAGCCCCGAGCGCAGCGATCACACTGCCGGCCTCCGATACGAGGTTTGCAACTGGCCAAAATACACAGAAGCATCCAAAAATTGAGATTTTAGTTTGCATATTTTCTTTAGAGGTTAAGAATGGACATTTAAGAGTTTGTACATTAACTCATATTAACCATGCACTGGTTACCTGCACTGTCCAGTAACAGTGTCACACTGAAGCCCTGCATTTACATTCACGCCGGTTGGAGAGCAGCCACAGTTCTCGCAGCCCAGTAAGGGGTGATAGCTAAACGTCTGATGCTGGCACGCATCACAGGATGGTTTCACCGTCTGAGGAGGACAGATGCAGCGTCCAGTCACTTCATCGCACAGTCGCCGCCCACATTCACATCCTGCAAAATGACAAACAAGAAATACCAAGAACATTAAAGTGGGATGTGTGTATTTGCCATGTTTCATCAGATGTGAGCCAAAAGCTTAAAATCACTCACGTTTGCAGTAGGGAAATCCATAGTATCCAGTGGCACATTTGTTGCACTGCCTCCCGATAACGTGCTGCCTGCAGGGACACTGTCCTCCAACAGGATCGCACACGGCCCCCGTTGAGCCGGACTTATCGCAGTCGCAGGGAAGGGCTCCGCCGTTGTAAGCTGCAACAAGAGCGCGGGCCGAATCTCTGCAAAACTGGGTTGAGGTCCTTGGTCTGCCCAATGACAACCATATATAGAAAAAAATTAACAAAAAAAACACACTTCCAAATAAAATAACAGTTTAATACTTCACAACCATATATATATATAATATATATATATTATATTATATATAATATAATATATATTATATAATATATAATATAATTATATATAATATAATATAATATAATATAATATATATAATATAATATATAAAAGGATATTCACTGTTAAACATTAAATCAGACTGTTGTTCCTGTTTTTGATAGTTAGAATTTCTAATATTTTTCTATTTGCTACATATCAGAATGATAGGACAATGATAATGATGTTTTTATAGATTTTTATTTCACTTTCTACAAGTTTTGATTTTCACATGTATTTTTTACATGGAAGATTACAATGCCATTATTCATCATTCATTAAATAAAAGTAATCTCTTTTATCCTAACTGGCAAGAACGAGAAACATTTTGTCTAATTTAAAGTCAGACAGAAGAAAATGTAAGCTGCACATCTTTGATTGGATACCTACTCAATATGGAAGCCTTCATTTGTGCATTGTTTTGTGAAGTCTGCAGACTTGTCAAGTTTCTTCTCTCGCAGGTGCTCCGGAGAGTAACTGCTATCAGGAACCAGCACAATATAATCCTAAACAAGTTGAAAAAAAAAACATACCAACAAGTATAAACAATCCATCTTGAAATAGGGCACCTTGAAATCATTTTATTTAGTCACATTTGGTCACATTTCTATTGATAGTTTCAACAGACAAAAAAATAAAATATTCTAAGCATGCAAACAAAGCTGAACCTGCCCCATCTACACAGCCTTGAGGTTTAGCTCTTATATAAAGCTTTGTGGGGTTGCCAGGAAGAAAACAGTCCCTTCATTGTTGTTGGAGATATGGCATAACACTGAAGAGAGAGGACCACTGCATGCCAAATCCATAACTTGAGCCACCCCATTCTATGAAAAACTGCAGATTTTACAAGTGCATGTCTTGCAAACTGTGTTGATATTTTTTTTAATTTTCTTTTTGAATGTAGAGATTTGCTTGAGTTACTGTAGAAAAAAAAATGCACTAACCAAAAGAAGGGTCTTCCCATGTGGCACGACGACAGAGATGCTGGGCCGCTGCGCAGAATTCCCGTTAAAGTCGAGAGCAATGCGGCCTTCGGCAACAACAACCTCCCTGCAGCCTGAAACTGCTGGGCAGAATGTGGCATTCATCTCACCTGGAGGGGAAGGTAGCTTCTCAGTTAGACCATATGCTGCTCAACAATTTATTTCTCTATTAAACACTTCTATAACTTTAAATCTCTAAAGCATTGGATAATCTTGTCATGAGGCCATGTAATCTGATTTTAAGAAGGAATTAGCAGATTATTGCCAGATTAAACTGTAATTACAAATCAGTACTACTCAATTTAATTTGGTCAGATTCAAAATCTTTCCCAGAAACTCACCTTTCCACATATGACCTGCATTTACTCGCACTTCCACTGGGAAGGAGACGTGTTCAGGCTGATGGTAATGCACCACAACAACATACCGACCCGGGAGAGGCACCACTGGAGTAAAACTGATCTCAGTCTAGGCGAGACAGCAGAATGTACAACTAGAATCCTGTGTGCTGTATATCCAGGCAGGATGATGTTCAACATGATGACAGGCAGATCGAAATATTTGACACAGATACCTGAGGGAATTTAAGTACTGTCCCGTCACTCTGAGGATCATGGACAGAGAGCAAGCTGGAGTGTCTTCTCCGCCTCCAGTCTTCACTCTTGCCCCGTTGGAGAGCCGCTGCAAGTGTGGATGACAGCTGTCCATCACGGGTGGCATACAGAACCCAGGATGAGGACGGCTTGTCAAACCCCCGTTGAACACAATGTCGACTGTAAACATCAAACAGCAACAAATTATTAAGGCAAGGACCGGTGCAGAGCTATCAGGACTGCAAGAATGTGGCTCATGTGAAGCAGGGTTACTCATTGAACAAAGGGCTGTAATGTGATAACTGGGTTTGCTCTCAGGTAAGTTCCATCATTTCTGTTTGTTTATATGTTTTCCACCTGAACATTCAAGTCCATTTATGGCCAATGCCAGAGTGGCACACTGACAACTGGAAAATCTGAGTTGCTTTTTAGCTTTGTAGTGAGAAAAGTTAGAATGACAGATGTTCTGAAGCTCATCTTTAGCATAGGAACCTTGGCCCAGTTGGAGGAATGCTTATATTCACACCTGGAGAACAGATATGCAGTTATGCTGTTGGGTCTAAGCTAACACCCAGCATGGTCCAAATTACAACTTATAAAGTCATGGATGTTATGTTGAAAAGGTTGAACCATGTTTTTTCATGAACTTGCATGACTCATTTAATAAAAATTACATTAAATGTGGGTCATATGACCTAAGGTACTGACCTGTCCTGAGTGAAGCGACCATGAGTGGAGACACACAGCACTTTAGGCTCCACATACTCCAGAGAGAACTTGTCTGCTGGCACTGCATAGATTTTATACTAAAAAGGAAAATAGGTGTGTTTCCAATATTATACTGATTCTTAAAAAAATGAAAATAGGAAATTTTTCTACATATATTCAGGAAACAAATTTCCTCACCAGAAGGAATGATGTTGTAGAAGTTTGTAGAAGAATCTCTGTCCTGTGAGACAGCTGCAGCATGGCCACTTGATTTCTGCTCTCTACTGCGACACTCCGGCACAAAGTGCTGCTCGGGTAGTTAAAGAATTTTATTTTAGTAGAAAAAAATTGACTTTTCCTTGTATAAGTTTTCATATGCCTCCAACTTTATTACAACTTACTACATTAGAACCACAAATTTCCACTTATTTTATTCAGATTTCCTGTGGTAAGAGAACTCAAAGTCAAGCATTAATTTGAAGTGGAATCAATAGGATACAAGCTGATTTGTTTTTCACAAATGAATAAAAAAAATAGTGCCTCCAATAGATTTTTTTTTCCAGGATTTCCATTCATTTACCTCTATTCATATTATTAGACTCTGACCAGTTGCCGAAGAAAAGCATCACCAATGCATAACGCTGCGGTCGCCGCTTTTACGTTGCAGGCTGGCATGTCTGGCTCAGTTTAAAGTTTCTCCTACAAATTGTGTTTTGCATGCAGACTGGGAGGTCATATTTCTGTCTCATCTAAAGGAGTTTATGTTCCTTGAATAAGTTTTCTGTTTCCTTAAATGGCATTTTGCAAAATGCAAACAGCAGGTTTGAGGTTGGGCCACATTGATTCATTTATAGACGAATGATTGAGCAGATCTCCATAACCTTAGAGTGACTTTAAACATCTCCACAACTTTATCCCTGACTGACTGCTGTGTTTCTTGGTCTTAGTGTAATTATGGTGTTTATGTTCTCTGACAAACCTCTGAGGTCTTTACAGAACATTTATACTGAGAACTGACTACAAACAGATGAAGTCTACTTACTAATCAGATTACTCCTGAAAACAGATGGATTTTGCTTATGGGTCTGAAATCAAATGCATGCAACCATTTTTTAAAAACATTTATGTAAAGCAATTCCTGTTTCATTATCCGTTCACTTGATAATTATGCACTGCTATGGTGTTGGAACATAATGAAATGTGGACATTTTTAAGAGTTACAAAGAGTTTGGCAAAACACTTTGTTATAAGACACAATAATTATCAAAATGACCACAATTCTGATGTTAGAGATGTTATGACAGACATAAACACATGACTCACCTGAAAACACAACTATAAATATTGGCTCTGGCCATGATCTGCATCTCTGGTTGTCCACTGATGAGAATGTTGACATTCTGGACAGTGTCCATCTCACTGGCATACTCCAGAATGAGAGTATACAGGCCTGAGTGAGGCACACGAAGACTGAGCTCCAAACGAGACTAAAAGACATAGAACATGAATGATATTAAGACGTCCTATAAGATCTTATTTGCTCCAAATGGGTTTTTATGAATTTTACTTCAAAATATGACTGCCAGATTAGTTTTGTATTATGTTTAGAGTCTCAGATGTGAGTCTGAACCTGTCTCCCGTTGAGAGCTGCCATGTCTGGGTGATCTGGAGTGGGACGCCGCACACGCGTCTGTCTCCTCTTCCTCCGCCCACTCCGGGTGGACAGCCTGCCCTGTGTGGCGAGCACAGAGCTGAAGCCGTCCATGGTGATGTGCTTGTACAGCAGACAGCTATAAAAAGAAACAAAAACATAAAATCAGAACAGAGATGACTTCATTATGCTAACAAAGAAAAGGTTTAAGAGAAAGTAAGGGTATAAGAAGAGGATTACTTTTCATCCTTGCTTGCAGTGTGTAAGTATGTGCAGGGCTGAGTGACTTCTTCTTTCAGCAGAGAAGCTTCGTAGTAATCTCGAGGCAGCAGCACTAAATAATCCTGAAGTGGGAAGATAAAAATTTCACATATTTCATTTGGGTCACATTTAGCAAGGCTTCCATATTCTGACTACCTTGAACATTTAAACACTTTCCCATAATTTTGATGTCATTACACAGAATTTGACATGTTGCCCTGTGATTGACCGACCAGGCACGTCTTCTTTTTTCACTAGGTAAATATTATCCAGACACTTACCAGAAGAACTGTCTCAGCCCTTATATGAATGATCCATTTCCCAGGATTTAATGCATAAGGTTCAGTGAAGCCCTCTCCTGGGACGGTGACAAAGGACGGGGATGAACTCGGAGGAAATATCACTTCCTTACTCTGAACTTCCCCTGCAGAGCAACAAGCACAGACATCTTAAACTCCAGCAAAGGCGACATAAATACACAGAGAGCTAATAAACCATTTGCTTACATAAATGTCAGGAACGAAATGTTTTCACTTCTTAAATGATGGGTTAGATTTTACAGCTGGATGGAGGAATGAGGGAATGAATACTATGTCAGAGGCAGTCTTACCTGCAGTGCCTCTGCTATTTGTAGCCTTGATGCTACCAGTCACACTGACGCTGTTGGGGTTAATAAACCGCAGAACCACATGGAAAAAATTCTGCCGCCCCTCTTTCGGATCAACATGCACTGCTACCCTGGCTTCACTCTGCAGGGACGACAGTCACACACTGATTCCAGTGACACAAGTTTGGATAGACAATGAGCGAGTGGTGTTAGGTGGAGAGATGAAAGGCAGGCGGGAGGATTAAGCAAACAGAACGGGTTAATCAACAGACAGCGAGCGAGGCAAAAAAAAAAAAAAAAAAGCAAAGCGGGCCCCTACACTTACAGTCACAGCAAGACTCAGAGTCAGGGTCATCCACCACCAAGATCCGGCCTTTGACTCGGACTCTCCCCTTGTTTTGGGAAGTGGAGTAGCGCAACATAATGTGGAAGGGTCCAGGAAAGCCAAGGCTAAGCATTAGAATCACCTCTGGCTGAGGACAGAGAGTGTTAGTTCTAAGAGCTGATGCTGATATTTTCCCACATCAGCAGTGAAAAAACAGAACACCGAGTTATTATTTGTGCACAAGCAATAGCAGAAAATTTAGCGTGAGACCGAAAATCGCTACAGTCTGCTGTAATTGTCACATATACACCAGATACAAAGCAGCAATGAGAGTGGGCGAACCTGTGCAGGTGACATTACAGCATAACCTCTCCAGCTGAACTCTGGGAATTCTTGGGGGTTAAAACCAAAGCGGACTGGTCGAGAATTTGGTGTCGTGCCGTCCTCCACCTCAAACTTCAACTGGTGCAGAGATGGGAAAAAGTAACCAGGGAAAGGCCTGGTGAGAGTAAAATGACATTTTCTCACTCAAAAAAAAATTCAGATTTTATGACATTACCGATGTAGTTTAGGGAGACATTATTTTATATACCAAAACAAAGTAATACAGTCTTATAAAGTGCAGTGAAAATAACAAATTTCACTAAATAATTTGTAAATTAAAACCTTAACGTGTGACATGATTTGAAAATAACATGAGAATCTTTTGACATGACAGCTATTAGTCATGCTCTCCACAAATCTGAAGAGTGGCTAGCTATTGTCAAAAGAAACCCACAGTGGTTCCTATATGCGGTTGGGTACCAGGGATGTGGGAGAAACAGCAAATATAAATAAGGATGAACTCTGGTCAGATGAAATTAAATAAAATGTTTTGAGCTACATGCTTTGAGTAGGACAACTACCCTAAATATACATTTACAACTACAATGAAGTAATTCAGTTAAAAGTTAAATCGTGGGTTCGAATGGCCTAGTCAAAGTCCAATTAAATGTTTTTAGATAGACTTCAAAATGAAGCTTTATTGCAAAAAAGAATGCTGTTCTATGCAATAAATTACGTAAAATCCCAATGAATAACACCATGAAAACATTTAAATAAGTTCAAACAGCATTAAAACTTTATCAATTAAAACCTTATCAATGCTCTTTACGTTTACCACAATGCACTGTTGCGGTATTTTATGACTTTTTTTTTAAAATGGAACCATAGCTTACTCTGCACACGTACGGCCAGTTACATTCTCCCGACACTGACACTGTCCAGAGGTCTGATCACATGTCATGCCAACAGCACCTCCTAAATCACACTGGCAAGCTGAAAGACAGAGAAGACAAAATTAGACAATTTATTGAAAGAGACCAACTCAACACCAGACTAAAAAAAGGCTTCTGGCAGAAACCTTTTATTTTCTAACTCAAAGCCCTCATTCATTTATTTTCCCAATTCTAATTGAATGCAAACCATGAAGTGAACTAGAATAAAAAGAAATAGTTTGTGTTTCTTTTATCTTGTACTTTTTCTAAAACTTTGTAATGTATATGAAACTCACTATATTCATACAGCTATCAATCCTGCTTTTTATGAATGGTGAAACTACGCTCACCACTTTTACTCCTGCTTTATTTACTAAAAGACATACAAAGCTTTGTTGAGTGAAATAGCTTTTTTTATTTCACTCAATAAAGTAAATTTAAGAAAACAGAAAGGTAATCAACAACAACAAAGCCTGTTGTATTTATTGTAACTGATCCTCAAGATCTCCTTTGCTTTGATTTTTAACTCATTCCTTCTTTGTTCACTTTATGTAACAAAATGTTGTCCTTTGTGATCATCCAGATCTGACATCATACTTTCCAGTTCAAAAAGAAAACTACAACTGTTTTTTTCACACGTGCTTCAACAAAATGGGGTATGAGAGTGGCATGTTAAGTTGATGTCTGATAAAGACATCTTACCTTGACAGCCAAAGTAGTTCTTTTTTTGCAGCAGAAAGTATCCATCTTTGCAAGAGTCACATGCATGGCTGCAGACATTTGGCTTACAGTGACACTGTCCCTCTCTCTGTAAAAACACATTAAAGAGGAAAAAGCTATTTTACATCGTTGCAAATTCAATGTTGTCAAACAGAGACAGTGATGTGTGCACGGAGAGGCATTGTGTCTATGTGTGTGTATGCTTTTAAATATACCCACCTGCTCACATTCTCCAACACCGCTCAGTGTCCCTTTCAGATCACACTGACATTCTGGAATGAAAAAAATAAGACAGGCTTGGGAAGGGGCTGGGAAATGTAACAGGGAAAAACTGTGAATAGGCTCTGATTACAGGGTTTTGTACCACTCACAGGTGTAACACAACAACCCCGAAGTTCTTTGGCTTCAAAGAAATGGAGGTCAAAAGGCCTGAGAGATCTTTTTCATTCACTGATTGCAGCGCATAAAAAAAAAATAATCTTTGTCTGAATGTCCAGCTACTTTCAACCGGAGACATTCTTCAGATATCAAAAGTGTGTGTTGCAAGTGATTTCAGGAAGAGCGGCAGATGTTAATCAGGCAAGAGAGCAAACCTGTAACATGAGAGCAACTTCTGGGGAATGCTTGGAGTTGTTTTAAAAATAATGGGAGAAACCATATCTTCCCCATCAGAGCTACATTTAGCAGAATAAAGCACACTTTTTGAACAGTCAAAAATGTGGACAAATCTAAAGTGAGCAGGAGATGTTTTAAAGTATCATCTGGTAATAAACTGTCACATTTAAGCTTACGAATGTTCCCAAGATTTTGCTCATTTTATGTGCGATACTCCCGTTTCTCCCTGAGAAGCAAAATATCAGTCCGGCCTTGGTGACAGCAGCATGTTGACATATTGACTACGTCAAACGGGTTAAGGCTCAGATCAGTATCTTATCAGGCTCCCTCTGGCAATAAGACAATCCGGAAAAAAAATGTGAGCAGTGAACAAAAGTAATCCTACTGCTGGAAACATATGTGTAACTTTGTAGCCCTTTTTGTAAATTCAATTGATAATCTGCAGATGACCAAAATTTAAACTTTTGATAAAAATAATTCAGTCTGGGCCTTTAGAGCTGGAGGACACATACCAAACCTCTGCTGCCGTAACTGGAGTGGCAATACTTGTCAAAGTATTGTTTGACAAGGGCTGAACATAGATGTGTTTCTTTGTGTTGAACCATCTTGTAAAAGTCAAATAAAACAAAGTTAATGTGTAATGTGAAAACATGTTTGAATACCTTTACAGTCCATTAAACAACAATCCTATTTTCGGGTTCTGGTTACCCACCTGTACATCCACGAGGGTTTTCTGCAGCTAGGTTCCAGTAGAGAGGTTTACACCTGTCACACAGTGTTCCTTCTACATTGGCTCGGCAGCGGCAGATGCCCTGAAAACAGCAGATAAGAAATCTATGAGGTGTTGAGACAGGCTGCTGCTGCTGTTGGCCGGGTTACATGTGCTCACCATCATACAGATTGAGACTGAAACGAGGACCTGCGTACTGTGTTAGAGTAAGTGTTGTGAACTGAAAATTGGTTTTTCTCTCACTGTTTGAAGTGGGGTGTGTGTTGCTAACTTTATAAGCAGAACCACTTGAGCAGCCGAGAGTTGCTTCGTGCAGTTGTTGTTTGTTCCGTTTTGAGATGGAAATGGAAGGAAGTCTCTTTTTCCGTGTTTGATCACATGTGAGTTTCGTGGGACTAGCCTTACTTTGTTGCGCAGTTTGATATCTGGGCCAAAGTTCATCCATGTTATCAGCTGTGGGATAGTAAATCTATTCAAATTCACCACCTTGGATTTGGGAGTAACCAATGGAAAATTAGGAAATATAAATTCAGTCTATAGTAAGTAGGTTACCGTTAGAGGATTGGGAACTTCGGATCCGTCTGGGTTACAAACACTGATGGAGTCTGAAAAATAAAACAGATGCCCTCAACAGAAAATTTACGATAAAATAACTCCCATATGAATGCATGCAAAGTTATTACTGAAACATGCCAAAAATCCCTCAAATTATATTGTTCATTTGAACTGCATTTGATTCCGCTCAAATCTTAAATATTTAGTTGGTTCACTTGTGTTTACCCGAGCACTGGGGAAACCTGAGTCCAGATGCACAGCGGTCACACTGCTGGCCCACCACACCTGGCAAACAGAGGCATTCGCCTGATAATGGGTTGCATCCAGTTCCATATGAACCCTCCGACGAACACCGACAGGCTGGAGACGACAAACAAGCAGAATTTCAGCTGCAAATACTTTTAAGGTTCTTTTTCAGATGTTTATTTTATGAATTATATTTTGCTAGGTGAGTCCCAGTGGTCAAATGCAGCATTCAACATTTAGTTTTTATAAGAAGTTTACATAAACTCATCATTGGCATAAATCTAAAAGTAACTTTGGACTTTTATGATAATTGTCCTGTGTATCTTTAAGAAGCTCCTGCTCTTTCTAATACTTTGCATAAAAACAATTTCCCTACATTATAGTGTTTACAACTGTTCTATGAGGGTTGAACTACATAGTTCATGTGACAAGCTCAGCACACTTGCAGTTCCGTCAGGTGTTTGCTAATTGCTGCTGCTACTCTGAGGGAGGGTAACTCTGTAGAGCAGAAATTTGGCTGGAGACTGTAGCTCCAAGGAAGACCGCGCAAACATGAACGAATCAAAGCAACACTCCAGGTATGTTTTAGATTAAGAAATTGCATGATAAATAAGAAAATGTTCCATGTTTTTTCAGGATCAAGCCAAAAAAACTTACCAGCACAGTCTGGATATCCATAGAAACCTGGTGCACACTGGTCACACTCACGCCCTTGATAGTTAGGGAGGCAGTTACACTGACCATTCGGACCGCACATGCTTTCAGCAACGCCAGCTCCTCCACAACGACATGCTGAGAAGAGATACATGTCATCATAGCCTAAGTGGAGATTTATTCAAAATATCTGTACGAATCACTTCTCCCTGGGCTGCCACTTTATCGTAGTGGAGGGGTTTGAGTGCCCCAATGATCCTAGGATGGATCTATGAGTCACATTGCTAGAAAATATCCAGACTTTCTTCTAAGATGTACTATATTTCATGACATCCTTTGGCTATCTCTTTCAAAATGAAAACTAATAATATCAATGTATTTTTTGGGGTGGGGGTCCTCTCACCCTGACAGCTTGGGAAGGAGTAGTATCCAGGTTCACAACGGTCGCATCGCTCCCCCTCGATGCCCCAACGGCAGAGGCAGCGCCCATAAACATCACATATGGAATACACTGTGCCTCTGTAGTCACAAATGCATGCTGTAGACAAATACAGTGGAAAAAATATTTTCACAACATGAACAAATTTCTCTGCAACTCCAGTCCCAGCTACTGAAGTTTGCTAGAAGCTATATTTATGCTTGACTTCCACAACCCCACTTATTGTTTAGTGAACAGGCTTGGCACTAAGATGCCACCAGAGAGATTCCCACTGTTTTTCTTCCTACTGAAGTAGTAAAATCTGCTTTGTAAAAGCAACATTTAGTTCACATGATAAAAGAACTGGATTAAAGGATTATTTAATGTTTGTTTATGTTCTTTGAAGAGTTTGATAACTAAGAATGACAGAGGTTAAAGGGGTTTCTTAAAATTTTGGTTCCCAGCTTAAACTAAATCAGAAAAGGGGCAATAACTAATATTAGCCTGGTGAGTTCTCACTGGAAAGTCCCAAAGGATTGGTGCTATAATAAGAGGGCAAATCTTTTTGGACCCTCAGAGTGATATGCTCATTTTATCTGCAGCCCAGTAACATGTCCGTATCCCACCAGTATCTACGTTCCACAACCAAAAACGTACATCCAGCTTGATTGAAAAATATATGTAGTGTATTTCTAGCAGAAATATAGACAAGATAATAGCTAAAGTTAACTTAATCTGATCTTGCAATTTCAAAATGTGAACAAGAAAAATAATTTTACAAAACCTCCTACTGTTACTGTATCTTTGACCAACAAAAGACTCCACCACCACACCCTCTTAAATTAATGGGACATCTAAAACTTACCACAGTAATCTAAATAATTCCAAATATTTAAAAAAATCCAAATTTTGGTTACAAGCTAACTAGAAAGCACAGTGTATGAAAGTAAAGTATATTCCAACTGTCTAGAGAAAAAACTAAACTGATTTTCTACATAAGTAGCCACAATTAATCCAAAGCATGAGAGAAATCAAGTTTTGATGAACCTCACACATATATACATTTATACATTTACACCTCCAGCCTTTACTATTAACATTTAACTCAAAAGCAAACTCAGTCAGACATAATGGTACGTAATATTAACCTCTTCCCTCCTTTTTAACCATTTTATCTCCCTCTAAGTGAATGGGACTAATTAAACTGTCCAATAAAAAAAACTTTTTTTATAAATACAAAAAAATGTGGATGAGAATAAGAAATAAAGGGATTCAAAATAGCCCAGCCATGAGAACATCTCTTCACTTTAGGTGTAAGCACACTTACGTTGACATCTAGGAGAGTTGAAATAGCCTGGGGGGCAGGCAGTGGGTCCTACACCGGGAGCAAAAACAAGAGGAACAGCTCAAAATGCCTGTCAGACTCAACTTTATTGTGACAAGCTAGAAAATCAACTTACCCACTATAGGGCCTGCAGGCGACTTGGTGGTCGTCAGGTATGCAGAGTAAGCTAGTTACAAAGCAATACAAAATGAAGATAGAAAATTATCACAAAACACTGTCTTTGTTGACAGGATTTTAAAATACTGTTGATTCTGCTTTGTGTGCATTTGGGTTGGTGACGCCACAAGAGGCACAAGACTTTTGATGATCCATGGAAATATGTTTCATAGATATTAAGCCTTTTGAGTTGTATTAGAGATGCATAATTGGTAGAGTATGCAAGTTTGGAGTAGTTAGATTAAAGGAAAAAGAAGATGGGTAACTCAAAACAGGACAAAAACAGACATGTTGGAGCATTCCTTCTGTGACGGCTCCAGAGGCATGTGTGAATGACAGCTTGTTTTTTGACAGATTTTAAGTTGATTAAATTACAATTTAAACTCCAAAACAAATACAATTTCTTATCAGAGCATGTTGTTCAATAGAGATACTGAGACTTTTAAACTCATCCTTCAGAAAAAAAATTAATTTGGAATGTGTTAGCCAACAGATAAGGACAATGACAGAAACAGTAAAAACTTTATGGAGGCTTTTAACTAAGAACTTAAACTGTTTAACCCAGAATTCTGCTGATAGTGTTAAGACTAATATTCTGTTGACCACAGGAAGAGAAAAGATCTTAAAAACAACATAGCAGAAAGAGAGGAGACAGTACTTTGATTTTACTGATGATCTTATATTCACTCGACACACAGAGTGCTTTTACTCTCTGCTTTAAATGTGTGATAATTACCAGGTAATTTCAGAGCGACATTCTCTTCAAATGCTAAACCACAATATGTGAAAATATTGTTGCATGCAGGGACTAAAACTGCAGATAAAGATCTCAGGAAACCCAGATTGCCTCCTAATGACTGTCAACATGTTTAGTCTGGTTTGACATGCCTCAGAAACTGCACACAAATAAAACCACTTAATAAAGCTTAAAGAAACTCTTTCACATATAAATGACGATTAAAAGATAAGTTAAGAATCTAAAGAACCTCAGGCAAATTTGCAGGAGACACACAGGTTTGCTGTGTGTGGAGGGGCATTAGAAAATGACTATTATGATTGCACTTTCATGATGAAACATCAAAAATATTACCAATAGAGATAAAAGAATGAGTGTGTTATCTTTATGCCTTTGCAGACAGATTAAGCTTTGCCAGGGAAGATCAACTTGACAGTATGGGGGAAATTCTCTTGCAGATTTCAGTATCTCTGTGGAATGTCGAATGTTTTCCAGCAAGAATAAACTTTTCTCTTGCAGGGAAACTGGTGGAAAATGAAATGCTAAAAAAAGACTGTCAAGGGCATGATTTTAGCCATCTGTCCAAAACATGAACTATAAACTATATTTGGTGAATGCATTCATTTTCAACGCTCAAAGTGAAGCCTTAAAGCACTTCTCAATGATATTAAGTGTATTTCCATTTATAGTTGATACTATTTACTCATAGTAAATTGTTTCAAATTGATGTGTATAAATATGTCTTCATTTTTTGACTGATAAATAAGGTCTATTTAAAATATGTAGAAAGTAAAAAAAAAAAAAAAAGCTAAACTCACGAATGCACTCAGGGTAGCGATAATGTCCATCAGCGCAGCGATCGCAGCTTTCTCCTGCAAACTGTGGCTTGCAGATACACCTCCCGGACCCCATCTCACATCCGGCTGTAGTCCTTTCATCACAGCTACAAGCTGGAGAGTGGCAGAGATTTTAATTAAAATAAGCAAACATCATCAAGTCTGACCATAAAGTCATCTTTAACTGCTTTAGCGCAATATCACACAGTTAACTCAAGCAACACACAATCATTCACAGCCTCTAAATTTTTTGTAAACCAAGTGTAATTTCTATTTATGTTTACTTCACACTGCAAATACTGCTGCCGCCCAGTATTTCACCCCATTAGAGAGGTTTTTGGGTTTCTTTCCACTTCAGCTGAGAATATGTGCTTTGGTTAGATTTGACAAAGATTGAGCTTTTCACCAAGGTAGACCTGGAGTAAAATAGAGCAACAATATGTTGAAAATTATCTCATGCTTGCTGTGAAGCATGGTAGAGTAGCTGTGATACTCTGGGCTTATTTCTATTTGTCTGTGAAGGGTCCCAGGAACTGTGATATATTTTATGGTATCGAGACCTATTGGAAATACCAAAATATTTTAAATGAAACCAGGATACTTACTCCAAAAAAATATGGTCAAGAAGCGTTCATGGGAAATAAAGTCAAGTTCCTTTCTAAGCTCTCTAAGCCTCTTACCAGAAATGAATTATACAGAAAACCCATAGAGTGAACTGAAGGGAAGAGAAAATGAGAGGGGACGCATGATTTCCTCTAGGACTCCAAGATTCAACATGGAAATGTATAGGAGAAGAAAATGTTCTGATGTTAACTCTTACAATGAGCTCATTGTACAGGGAGCAATTTAATAAAAAAAGGTTTTTAAAGTGGGTTTACAAGCATGCTTTTTGCAAGCAGCAGCTAAATGACAAAGTATTTTAGTTTCATTATGACCAGCCCTCCACATGCTCCCCTTCTAAATCGACCAGCGTTTGTGGGTTCCGCAGTTCACTTTTCTGAGTGAAAGAGAACCACTTTATATCCCCACTTGGCAAAGTCCAAAGACAACTGTCAGCTGTTCTCACTACAAAGAACAGCTACAAAGCATTCCAGTAAAGTAAACAATGGTAAAGCCCAGTTCAGAGATAGTAAAACCTGTGGTGCCAGTGTTGCTGCTCTGTTGCCTTTTGTGACTGTCTGAAACAACACGATTAAGGCTTTTTTTGAGTAAAACTCTATTTAGGCTTCACTTGTTATTCTGCAGATCACATGCCATCATGCATGGATGGTATTTACATTCAACCGGCATTAGTACAATGTGGAAAACCTTGCTAACATGTCCTCTTGGCATCGACTGGAGCTACAGTAAGGAGCGGATCTGAAGAGTAATCTACTGGATCACATGGAGGCCTTGAGATTTGTGTCGTGACGTTTGTTAAAACCCAGAAAAAAACACCAGCAAGCAACTCAAACACAAATAAAAGTGTCTTAGAAAGATACATTTACTTTACCTTACACCTGTCTTAACTTTTCTATCATGAATACTAGATGTTAAAACATTTTAAAATAGATTTTCAGTTAATGTCACAGCTTTACTGTTTTATTCGCTATTCAGTTTTGAGGGGGAAATGAGCCACTGTAACAAAAGATGCATTAGTTTAAAATTGAAAAGTGTTAGACCAAACTACACATATATTAACAATATATTTCAATCATTTATTTTATTCCTAAAAGTCCCCACACCACCATGTATTCATTTGTGTGTGAGGACCATTGTGTCGGATGACCATTGTGAAAATAATTGGTGGCATATTCAACATTTTCATGAACAGTCAAATAGATTAAAAAAGCAATCTATTTTTAGTAGATTGTTTTAAATTGAAATATGTTCCATTTTTATGAAGATATTTGGCAATGGAAATGCTTCTAAAAGGGAAACAAATATCGAGCTTTGTTAAATCAGAAGGCTGAAGAGAACATTATACTCACGTATGCATCCAGTTGGAGATTCAGGACGCACTCCGGAAGGTCTGTAGAAACCTTCCATGCATCTCTCACAGTTTATTCCTGCAGTGTTGTGCTAAAGAACAAAAGAATCAAGTGTCGAGCATTAGACAGCTAATTTAAGAAAAATAGTCTAGCTTGTACACTTGAAATCTTCATAATTAACATTTCCATTGGGTGCAAAACTTATTTATATATGTTGTGAACTGGGGCAATATGCCAATGAGACATTTTGCCTCAAATTTGAGAGCTAATTTTTGAGCAAATCATGCAGCATGCTACTCTTCACTGAGAACTACATCAATAAATAAACAGACAAGTTTGATATTTATTTTTTCTTGTATTTCTTTCATTAATAAAAGACACAAGCATGTGTTGACAAGAATCAGCTTGAACTTGATACACATTTCATACCTGGCAGCCAATGCACACTCCTCCTCCATTGTACCTGCCGAAGGTGTCCAAACTTGCTCTCCTCTTTTCAACCTCTGGGTCGTAATAACAGTCGGAGGCATGGGTGAAGCACTGGCAGGCTGAGGTGGAAAGCCCCAAGACAGACATGCAGACAAACACAAAATCAGAGCATGTATATTTGCCTCCCACTGAATTACCTCCCACCTGTGTTTAAACTCCTAAAGATTGTGAAGTTACAAGAGAAATGATAAATGCTAACTTGCTAATAGTGTAATCTCTGGCTGTGTAGCATGCCTTGGGCTTAATCATTTTCAAGCATTTTTGCTGGCAGTCTACTTTTGCTATAAGTCCGAATAAATAAATTTGTGGCTCCACATAGGCAACACAGTGCCTTGCAAAAGTATTCATACCCCTTCAACTTTCTGACATTTGACACATTAAATCCAGAAACTTAAAGGTGTCATATCCAGCTTTTTTAAAAAAGACAAACCCATTGCTTTGCCTTGAAAGTCTGATGTGTAATGAAAAGAAAATAAGCAATGGTTTCAAAACATTTTTATGATGTAGAATCTGAAAAATGTGGCATGCATTTGTATTTAGTCCCTGATGCCCTTCACAACATATAGAATATCAATAATCACAATAACAATATATGCAACATTGCAATTGCAAAGTACAGCATGCAAACAATATTTAGTCACCTTTAATATTTCAACTGTTGCGGTAAAATACTGCAATGCTTTTAGCATTGCAGTATTTTACCGCAGATGTTAAGTAGATAATAAACAGAGTACATATTTTAATCCCAGCATAAATACAGATGTCCTGTGAGAGAATATTAGAGAACAAACACTAAGTAAGACATCAGACAGGTTAGATATAAAGCAGTGGATTAACTTAAACCTCTTATTGAAGAGTAGCAAGGCGAAAGTTATCTTCGAAAGAAAACAACAATGTATCTTGTTCGAAGTTTGGAACGGTGGATATGGTGGACAGAGTAAACATGCACATGTGCTCCTAAACTCATCTTCCCCACAGAGAAATATGATGGCAGCATCATGTTGTGAGAATACTTTTCTCTAGCAACAAAAAAGCTTGTCAGATTTGGTGTATTGAGCAAAATTAAGAGCATTCACAAAAGAAAACCTGTTTGAGGCTGCCAAAAACCTGTAGGAACAGGAAACATAATCCTTAAAAAAAAGCTAAAGGTACAAATGATTAGACTTATATAAATTTATGTTAGAATGGCCCAAAGCTCAGACCAGAATTCAATTGAGAATCAGTTGCAAGACTGGAAAATTTATGCTAGCAAATCATCTAGATCAACTAAAAGTTGAGCTATCATGCAAAAATTCCAGTTTCATGAAGTGCAAAGTTTATAACCCACCACTTCCCACCACCACCATCAAAACGGCAACTATATTACAGCTGAATAAACAAAATATTTCCAAATTTTAATAAAAAAAATACAAAATAAAAACCATGTTTTATCCTCTTTCTACCGTATAACTATTTTCTAATACTTTGTGCTGGGCAATTTGATAAAATCTTTCTTGTGAAAGGCAGAAAATATGAAGAAAGTCGTGTGGGGTGTGAATACTTTTACAAGGCACTGTATTTTGTAGTGGAAAATATGTCAACAGTCCACTTGAATTAGATTCCAGCAGATCCAGGCTCAGATGTCTCCCTGGATGGATCACTTCAGAAATGTTACTCGGTTCTCGGTGGCACAGGCCTGCACAACTTAAAACTTACCAGCCAGCAAGGTAGGAAGACGAAAAGCAGCTATCATGAGGCTAGTTACTCAACACACAAACAATATGTGGAATGTCCTGTCGAATCTTCACTGACACAGATGACATACAATACCATATCAGGGCATCAGTAACTGGGATTTAATATCAGAGACAAGACAACACTTCAGCCCACTTCTGGGGCAGTAATTCAAGAGCCAGCAGCACGGGGAGGAGCAGAGTGAGATATGCATTACATGTCGAATGAAGTACTGCACAAAATAACACTCACGCTGACAATCGTTGGGGCTGTCAACAGTTGCAGCCCGCCACGGCTTCTGGTTAAAGCCTGGGCAGCAGCGGTCACATGTCTCGCCGCAGGTGTTGTGTAGGCACTCGCACTGGAGTCTAAAGAAAGAGGACGAGACGGCGGTACATGGTGATTCTGTGATGTTTGACACCATTGAGAACAACAGTTTAAGCTGTATATCACTGACACATTATCGCCATGAAGTTATGACAACTGTGTTGCCTTTAAGACAGAGTAACACTTGATTTAATTTTAGCTGGAAATGTGACTGTGATAATCAAATAGTTTTGGCCCCAAACTGGTAAAGTATCAATAATATGGGGAGAGGTAAGATTTCTGAAAGGCAATATTACCATCCACAGCAATGGAAAAGTTTGGTTTCTAAAGAGCAGTTTCTCCCAAAAGCTGTCAGATGTTGGGAAGTATTTATATTCTTTTTACTTTATAATTTAGTCTATTAATTTCCAACTTTTTCTGGTTATAAGTTATAAGTTAAGTCCCTTATTCAACTATTCAAACTGAATAAGTTATCTAAAAACTTTTTTGAGTTTGTAGAACAAAATAAATCTTGTGTCATACTGGGAAGGCATAATCATTTATGATTGATGATGTGTTGTCTGAAAATTTCTCACATTCACTAAAGAGCAAGTATTTTTCTAAATAAAAAAAAAATGAATAGGAATACATTGAGTTAATGAGTGGTTGCTTTTTGGCAACATGGTAAAATGATAGAGCAACATTTTACCTACAATGATCATCCATAGAAGTAGAATCTTTGTTTTCACAGCATTTTTCATGGTTGGATCTCTTCATTCTCGACTCCCTGATTGTGCAACATTTTGTCTTTGATTATTCTGCAGTAAGAAACATTCTTTCCTAATTATCTCACAGATTTATGTGTTCCACATGTGGGATCTCCTCCCACACTGCTTTACGATGACAAAAAGTCTCTACATTGAACTTCACTATGAAAGGAGTAAAGGTTCTTTTTTTTTTTTTCTGCTGCCATAAATCATTTTTCTTAATTGCACCATTAAAAGATTTGAAAGATGAGATTTGCCTATTGTGACTGTAGTCTATGCTCCTTTGTTTTCAGAAAAAACTCCATCCAACTGGTTTGGTTTTAAACACCAGAAACCATAGTCCATATGTTTGTAAATAAACATAATATTTAAATTAACATTTGACATTAACAGATATAAAATATGTAAATAAAACAGCATAAAGTGCAAAAGGTGAGAAATAAAAAAATAATTTCACCCCCATAGAAAAGAGCAACAAGGCTGAAGTTTGAGTTTTACAGACCTGGTTGGGTTGTCCAGATTCCGACCAACACCACAGACCTGGGCATGGCCATGGCAAACACAGCGACCACCGATGCTGATGTCTTTAATACTATAAAAATACTATCAGCAAACAGAGAAATGTCAGCACCAGCACAAACAGGTAGATCTGTCACAGTTGACAAATTTGAACAGCTCAGGAATTCATGGGATGAACTGACTTAATATTTCCAATAGATGAAAGCAAAAAAATATTTTCCCTAACATGACAAGGCTTTAAGAAATTTAATCTTGAAACAAATTTTAGTGTTCTGTACCAGCCACTTAAAATTTATACTCTGCTTCTTTTAATAGCCTGCTATGCTGAGCTTTAACCAGAAGTGCTATATCTCACACTTGCAGACTGAAAGAGCTTTCCAAACCTGTCCCTCTCAAAAAAACATTCCAAAGATGACTTGTCACACTCACCCAGACTTAGTTCTCCACAAACCCTAATGGGTCAACAGAGGAGTGTGACTGTGTCAGCAAAAAGGAAGCTGGCAGGCAGGAGGTACAAAACTAAACTTTGTCTGAATGGGAAAACTACAGAATGACACATTAGTGTCAGGTTGTATGGTTTGTGTCATACCCTGCGTGTGACGGTGGGGTCTCTCTGGGCTTTGGAGATCAGGTGCCCTAGGAGAGTGCTGGTGCGAAGAAAGCGCAAGCGAATGTTTGTGGCCTTCGTGAAGTCACGGAGCACTGGTGAGTATGTGAAGTTTTTGGAACCCGGACGGCCATTTATCAGAGAAACCACAATCTGGAAAGAACAGCGTTTATTTTAAGTGAATTGTTGTTCAAACTTGTCTGGCATTTGTTGGCAGAATATTTTGTATTTCACCTCTCCATTCTCCAAAGGTATGATTCGTGAATACTCTGTGGTGCAGATCTGGTCATCATCATTAAAAATACGACCATTGGGTTGTTTTCCAAATTTTTCAATACACTCCCGTTTTGAATCTAGTGAGGTGAAGAAAAAAAAAAATCAAAATGTTATGGTTAAATTATTGAAATTTTTTATAAATCACAATTGTAGCAAAATAAAGGTGTTTAATTATCAGAAATGAATACATTCTGACATATGATAAATATTCAGTGTTCAATGTCCAAGAAATAAGTATTTCTATCTGAAATTACAATATAAGAAAGTCAGAAAAGTGAAATCTAAAAGATTGTACTCTATTGACATGTGTATGGTATTTTTTTGTCAGTACAACTTGAAAAGAGACTCAAATCTGTTGGAGGAAGCACATTTTGGTGATACAAAGTCTTAGAATCCAACAGAATGAAACAGGAAAGAAGGAATCTATGGGTTTCCTGCACCTCTTTTCAATAAGACAATTTTTACAATATTTTGCCCATTTAGTCTTCGCCACACATTTTTCCATGGATGTTAAACAACTTTTATCTTCTTCTTAGTTGTCAATTAAACTAATTAATAAAAGCTTGTGTAAATAAGCTTCATATTAAGAATAATGAGCACGAAGGTAGAGCTTAATTTTAAGTTGTAGGGAATTTATTTGGAATTAACTTGTATTCTGCCAAATCTTTTTCAGCAGTATGAATATTTTAAGTATTACTGTACAAAATCTCAGGAATGTCTGAAATAAAGATAACATAGTATAGTAGGGAATAAATCATTTGAAATAAAAACACTGCTGAGCTCAGAATAGGCCAAAAATTTACAGGAATTTAGATTGAGTGCACTCAAAGTGAAAAGCTGAGAGTGAAAACCTAAAAAAGTCTCTTTATGATAGCGCCGACAAATATTATAATTCATAATACCAAGTTGCAAAGTAAGCAAATAGAGTTGTGAACAACATTTTTGTTAGCTTTAAATCTAAAACTGTAGAAGATTCCTTCACATATGCATCTTTTATTTCTTTTATAAGGGAATCCTTGACATACAAGGTTTACGGTAGAAGAGTTGCTAGAAATGCAGCACCACTGTCAAATTCAAGCCAGCAAGTCTGGGATCCTCAATTCACTCATTGTTAGGAATCCCACACATACAGTCATGACACCTGTTACCATGACAGGTGTCAAAAAAGAGGACACAGTTGGTCCTCTTTTTTCTGCATATTTGTTTGTTCTGTCACTGTGTCTCTTATTCTGACCGCCAAGTAGAAAATCTCCTGAGCAGACCTCACAAACAGCAACTACAAACCCAGAATGAACAGCACTGATCTCTATCTGCATTCTAACTGTGTCATGTAATTTATTTCTGCCCACTCCTTATACACAGCTGTCCTGCCTCACGTTGATTCATTTTGACTCAAAGCAGCACAATGAGATTGTAAACCAGGGGCAATGCTTTTCTCAGTTTTGTCCATGCTTGAGTAACTGGAACAGCGCTGAAATATGTTGAGTAGAATTATCAAAGTAGAATTATCAAATTATCAAAACAGAACTCTAACACGCTATCGTCAGCCTAGCACTTCAGCAAACTTCTCCACATAAAAATATCAGGCAGCAGCTGTACTCATCGAGTCTGAAACCTCAATTGAGACAAACTATCTGGCAAGAAAAATAGATGCAGTCTCCAGAACTTCATATGTCTAAATACAATTTTTCAATCCAAACCTACTTTAAAACATATACTTGAGTTTGATTTTAATGAAGTACTGGACTGAGACCCTGTAAAGGTAGCTACATATTACTAAATAACTAAGATCAGCATTGAGCAAAAAAACGAAAAAACAAAATCCTGATCAAAGCATTCCTTTATTATCTATTACCCCTTTGGGCCTAAGTCTTTACTAAACTTGATACCAGTAAACACTAAGCACTAAGTCCTGTATACTAGTCCACTGGGGAGCAGAAAAGGTCTTAGTAAGGGAATAAAAAGCCACATTGACTATTGTGTTTTGAGGATTTCTTACCTCTTATTCCAACCAAACAAACCTTTTATAACTCTGAAAAATAACTGCAGCTTAATATAATTTCATTAATATCTTGTGGACTGGTTTTTTAATGCACAATGATGAAATGACGTAGACCACACATACAAGCACACAAAGTAAGGGAAACAATGACAAACATTTCCTGTCTTAAATCGTCTTAAGCAGATAATCAGTGTGCATAGATTAAGCTTACACCCCTAATCACACATATATCCATCTTCACAATATTTTTTTTCATGGCAGACAGTTTGACTTGTCACTGCAAGAAATATCTGGCCATTATTAAGATAACAGCCCTCTTTTTGGCTTTTATAATCATGGGATTTGGCTGTACTGCATCATTTGATGGCTTTATAATATGTGTAACACTTTTGCTCTTGCCTGTGTAACATATTAAAATACCAACAAGAAAAACATCCAATCCACACAAAATCACTGTGTGTCTTTGATGCAAACTTATGACCAGTTTTTCTTCTGTTGATTTAAAAAGAAAACCTTTTACAGAGAGGAAGTGAAAGTGAGTAAAGATTCTTTTAGGCAACTTACATTACAGAAAACCATTTTTTAAACACAGGGATTTACACTTACGAGCAAAGTACTGCCAAGGGGTGAATTTTCTCCCATTGTCCACAGAGCGCTCCAGCACCCACAGGTCAGGACGAGGTGAATTAGCAAACTTGATTAGGACGTATGCCACATGGAAGAGCTGAAAATCAGAGCACAAAGAGGCGTCTAAACAAAAGGCACTCACTGTTCACTACTCAGAGCGGATTTTGGCAAAAGCCTCCAGTTTCCTGAGTTGCACTGACTCTGCAGAGGAAAGGCTTGGCTTTGGGCTCTACCAGTATTCTTATTTCCGTTCTTGGAAGGAAAACAAGAAGTCCCGGTACAAATTCGTCATAGTTCTTTTAACTTCTTAAACAACAAATGTACAAATAAAAGCTTGAACTGAAACAGTTTCCGGTCTTGAGAACGTTGTTTACCTTTAGCATTCAGCCAGAGATTGGCTTACAGGAAGGAGCACTTATTACCATGGAGTGAATGCAACTTCTGCAGGTGCAACCATGCTAGTGAAAAGACATTAGCTAAGCCCACCTGATTCGAGTTTGTTCTCTGAAGTCTTTATCTCAACCCCCATCAAAATATAGAGCCCATACAAGGGCAGAAGAGGGGAAGTCAGCTTTTGTTTCTATCTGACTCCTTATGCTCACTGAAGTGCATTTCCTTTGCATTTCATCAGTATCGTTATCAAGCACTGAAAGAGATTGGCTTAAGGTTGATTGGCCATTGTATAGCAGTCCATTTTGTTTGATCTTCTGGGATTTGGCATTACTTGTTGTGAAACCTGCCACCTGACACCCACAGTGTCAACAGAAAGCCTTACATTCACCTGACCACGCCCCTTTTACGTTCTGTAAGCCTGAGATGCAGATTGTCTAAATTCGTGCATAGCTTGATCTCACAGCACAGGGTGCTGTGAGAATGCATGCTCGGTTTTCAGTTGATGAATTGAAAGGCTGTAGGTAAAATGTAGTGCTCTATCTTAATAACAGGCATTTCTACAGCCTGTCTCTTTTGACAAGGATGAAGGCAGGCCCACACTCGTCTAGCATCCCTCACCGCCAGAATGAAAAGCCCAGCGGGCATTTGAAATATTCAAGTATCCATCTCTCCTTGCATGAGGCAAGGAGTTGGGTTAAGACTTCAAAGAAAAAGAAAAGCACGCCAAAGCCTCGGCTGAGGAGTCATTTACTCTTTCAAAATTACCCACAATTCTGGATGAATTTCTCTCCCAATCCTGGAAGTGAAGGCCTCAAACTTAAGCTGCTGTTTGGCTGCTGCATTGTGAGCAAGTTCAGGGATCAACTGCTAAACTGGGTGTGCATATTTATCATCACAATGTGAACTCTAGCTCTTACCAAGTAAATCATCCGGTTTCAAATCAAGAGCAGACCTTTATCAGTCTTGAAGCCCTCTTTCAATCTGATGTCTGAATGGCATGTGTTTTTAAATTAATCAGGGAACATTTCCACCCACATGCAACAGGATGTGTAGATAACTAAAAAAAGACATGAATGGCACACACGAAAAGTTGTCTAATAATAGAAGAAAGTGACCTACTATGGGTTTGTCTATTTTGGTGTGAACCGAAAGGAAGTTTAATTCACAAGAGCTGTGATGACACGAAGAGAGGGCTTGGTGGTAGTAGGATGGAGGAGGGCAGAGAGACAAGGAGGGAAGCAAAGGGGTAGGGGTGGCAAGAGACATGGTGGCTGGCATGCAGACCCATCTCAAAATTCCAAACATAGCAACACATTCCCCCTCTGGTCTAATGACCCCAAAACAAAGCATGGCACTGCTTCCAGAAGCCCATCACTGGCAGCAACACAGGATTGAAAACTTTTCACGACACTTGTTGCTGTAAAGGAGGTGACGAAAATAGATATTTTAAGCCACTTAAAAATGTACAGTTCTTTGGTGACTTAGCTGGTTGAACTTGTTTGTTTCTTTATGTAGCCATATATGTTGGAAGACTCATTCCAGAACACTCTTTGTGGAGCGTTGTGTGGAAGAAAACATTATATATTTAAAGTATTGCGTCATCTGCCTACACACACAAATGAACCTGAGTGGCAGTCTAGTTTTAATCCATGGAGTTTAACATGATCCTGGCCCAGAAGCAGAGGTCTGTTACAGCTTTACAACTATAGCAGTTTTAATTCTTCGAGGAAGGCTTGCCAAAAGCTTTTGGGTTGTGTTTATAGGAATTTATGGCCAGTCTTCCAGAAGCACATTTGTCAAGTCAGAGTTGATTTGATCCTAGTTATTAAAAAATGTATCCAAGTTTAGTGTATTGTCCAAATTGGTTTTAAAAGGCTTCTATCTAAGAAACTGAGACCTTAACTTTCCAACAAATCCCTCATACTGAGAATACATGGAGCAGCAAGGGATCTTTTACTGAAAGAAAAAGATGAAATCATAAAAAAAATAATAATAATAATCTTAATTAGTTTTCCTATTATTCTTCAAAGAGGATAATGGTTTAAAAACAAAATTTTGTGACTTTTCAGGTCAGACACTCTAAAACAGAAAGCCCTACAACTCTACTGCTGAAAACAAATTGATTTTCTTGTCCACAAATCTTTCGATCAGTAAAATGTAGAGTCAGTGAGTGGCCACTCATTCACATCAACAAAACAGAACATATAGAACTTTAACGGCAAAGATCATCTGTGAAGGAAACATGTATGAACCCTGAGGATATAAAAAGCTGACGAAACAAATTTAACCTTAAGTTCCTGCGGTGTCCAAAGTCAGTCCTCGATGGTCAGAATCCTGCATGGTTTATTTCTTTTGTTGGTTAAACATACGTAAGCCAAGTGATATTTGATTAACTGGCCCCTCCAAACCTTCTGACATGCCCAGGAGGTAGCTGAACCATTTGGATCAACTATTTTGCAAGACACTGGTATTTTGATTTGTAAAATGGAACACAAAGGCAACATCCACAGATTAAAAGGCAGTGACCCAGAGAGGAGTCTTAGATGCTGGACCTTATTGTGAAAAACTCTAACAATTGTGCTCTTTATAGATGAGGATAGTCTTCATTTTAATCATAAGAGGTCTGACGTTTTGTGTTAAATGTGTTCCTATTTTCTAAAGCTAAAACATTTATATACTATATTATGCAAATAAAATTTACACTGCTCCTTTATAAGAATACATACTATTATATATTCAGGAATCTTGGAAGGACGATCCCTAGAGCATGTCCTGGCACGGCCTTGCTTTCTCTCCAACTGCATCCTGCCAATCTAAACACACACTCCTGAATTATGTCCAGCACATTTGGAGGGGAGGGCCTTGAAATATTGTGATGACATGCCATGCACCCTCAATGGAGGACTCCATTGTCATTCAAGACTTTAAACACACTGGCAAGTTTGTGGCTAATAGACTGGGAAAACACTTGTGCTGAGCCCCTGTTTACCCAGCATCCACAGCAGCTTTGGTTGTGACTGTTGCACAAAGAGGTTTAGCATGAAAAAAGGTCAAGGGGGTTAGCTGTGCCAGCCGTAGACGGCCTTCCTTGTCTTTAGTCATGCTTCTTAAATTCCTGACCTTGGTGTGCCGCATTACTTGATGTGAGGGGACAGAAGACTTCTCCTTGCATGTTAACACATAAGAACAAGAGCGCCATCAATGTCCCACAAGACCAAACACCAATTTTAAAACGCTACATTAAAATTTTCCTTCCACATTTCATTCATAGCAAAGTGAAATTTAAATTTGATACATAACACGCACTCGTGCATCACTCAATAACTCAGCTAACCCTCAACATTTTCTCCATACATAAATCGTCAAATATAAAGCAGAAAATTAACTTCTGACAGATATTCAGTCCGAGTGATGTGTCAAATCTGACAAGTCATATGACCTCCAGCTTCCTCCTAATTTATTAGAGTAAAGCTGAATCTAAACGAGACCTTGCATTACCTTTGTCTTATTTACTTAGATCCAGTCATTTCTGCCTCATTAATATGTTTACTAGCAATGCATTTGTATTCAGCCCCTTTTACAATGACTGAAAGGGAAAATACAGTGAACTCAACTGCCCACAGATATCCCCTGATTAGATAAATGGCTTCTGCCTGTGCGTAATTCAATCGTTTGTGTATTAATCAGCGAAGCAGTCAAAAGCCCATGGGAATGGAGGACCTGCACTAATCTGCAGCCCAGGTGGACAAGCTGTTAATTGTACAACTAAGAAATCTGGCTCTTGGCTGCACACTCCACTCTTAACAGCAGAGTGGTAAAAGCTACACCTTCGTTAAACAAATACTACAAGAAGTTCAATGTATGGTTTACCACAAACCTAATCTATAATTTGTGAAAGTGACGTATGGCCTTCAGATATTTTCACCATTTGTTAAAAAAAAACAGTCAAATATGGAATAAATTTTGTAAACCCGACCCCTGATCTAAGCTGACTGAGCTTGACTGCCTCTGCAAAGAAGAAATAACAAAAATTTCAGTGTCTAAGTATCTAAGCTGGGAAAGACATACCACAAAAGATTTGGCAGCTGTAATTAGAGCTGTAATGCGTAGGTACAAGAGGCTAAATATGTTGATCTATTATACAGAAATATCACCAAAAAATAGTGAAGTTTATGAAAGTTACATGAGAAAATATAAGAAAGGTTTAAATGATATGAATGATTTTGTAATCTATTTATTTTGAACAAAATGATCAGCTATAACATAATCCAAATAGGATTTTTTTTTAAATCCTTTGTTAAGACAACAGTTTATGCGACAACTATTTTTTACTCTATCATGAAAAGGCCGAAGAACATAAACTTTAGTTGTTAGCTTTTGTCTAATATCAAAAGCTTTTATTTTTCTTGCTAGCACAAGAAAAAAAAATTGAACAGAAGACTCAATTAATCCCTAAGTTATAAAAACAAAGCCAGGACATAGTGTTAACAACTTTGAAGAAATTATTATAATCTTGGAAAAAACTTCCCTTCAAGAAATTGCTTTTCATTCAAACAGTAAAAATATAAATACCAACATGTCGTTTTAACTTTTTCCTCCATTGTTTTCCAGCAAAAAATAGAAATCTTTCTTTGTTCTTCTCCAAACAACGGTTATTATTGTGTAACAGAACAACTCAAAAGCAAAATGCTATCTGTTTTTAGT